CATTCACGTGGATTCAGATGTGTCTCCTGAACCATGATGGCGTCCGCCTGATCGAACATCAGACACTTCGCGTCCGCATCCTCGGTCGCCAACAAGTCAGCGAACGTAGAGAAAGTATTGGCGTTCATCGTGAGCGCCCTCCATATCTTCGGGTTAGGAATGAGGCCTCCCTTCGCCCAGTGGCCCTGCCGATCGTAATTTTTTGTTGGCCTCCTCACGAAGCTCCTGGATGAGACGCTTCATGTCGGCATCTGAGATCGGTAAGTCTGGCGACAGGCCTTCCACCATGTTGTCCCACTCCGCGCCGGACAAGCTGCTGCGATGCACGTCCTCGGGCACGGGGAGCACGCCGTGCCGCCTCCAGTATCCGTAGCACCCTCTGCAGCGCCGCCGCCCCCTGCCGCCGCTGCTGTGGCCGCAGCGGCGGCCCCCGCCAGCGCCGCTCCTCCGACTCCATCTCGGTGGGCCGTGAGCGCCTGCAACAGCGCCGTGAGCGGCTCCGCCAGCGCTGCACCGACCTGCTGCTGCCAGCCAGGGTGACTGCTGAGAACCTTCGCCACGTGCGAGGCCGCCGAGACCGCCGACTCCGCCGCCGCCGCCGCCGTGGCGGGGGGGCCACGAGCCGCCTTGGCCTTGGCCTCATCCACCATCTGCTTGAGCTCCTGTTCCAGCTTGCCCACAAGGGCCCTGGAGGATGCATATTGCTCCGTGGCCTTCTGAATGGCCACCTTCGCTTTGTCAAAGGAAGAACGGGCAGGCTGCAGTTTTGTGGCCTTGCTGCCAATGGCCTGCTGCACGTCCTTGGCCTCCTTGGCCGAAACCAAGCCCTCGAACCCGTTCTCACGCTTCCATCGCATGTGCTTGAGCTTGTCGCGGGCGGACTGAGACAATGCAGCGGCGGCCGCTTCGAACTGATCAGCAGACATCTCAAGCCACACTTTAGCCTGCTCCGAGTCGAAAGCCTGCTGCTGCTGCTGCTGCTGTCCACCGCCGCCAGCACCTTTGACCATTCCGTTGCTTCCTGCCTTGCGCCGAGGAGCTTCGAACACAGCAGGAGGAGGATATGCCCAAGCACCACGAGGCACACGCCACGGCGGAGACGCAGGCACCAAGGACGCACCCTTTGGCCCCTGCCCATTGCACCCGGCCTGGCGGCAGCGAGCACGGAAGCCGTAATTGTGATAGCCGCAAGACTTGCAGTCCCAGCCAGACATTGCGGTACTGACACAGAGAAGTCACCTGACGGCGCGGGCGGCAGGCGCGCGCGCGACAGGAGAGAACGCAGTGGGGGCCGTCCTTCCCCCCCGCCACTAAGGCCAATTCCTGAGCCGATGGCTACGGACTTGAGCCAAAATGGCTACGGACCCTCCTCCTCCTCCTCCTCCTCCTCCTCCTCCTCCGCCCCCCCCTTCCCCCCCTCCTCCTCCTCCTTCCTCTATCCTCCTCCTCCTCCTCCTCCTCCTCCTCCCCCCCTCCTCCCCTCCTCCTCTCGCTCCTCCTCCTCCTCGGAGGAGGCTTCGGCCCGCGCGCCCGAGGCTGCAACTTGTGCCAGCAGGCGGCATCCCCCTGTTTTTCAAGCGGCCTTCCCCCCTTCCCCTGCCCTTCAGTCGCGCCTGTCCCTCTACAGGAGGAATATTCTAAAATACTCAGATAAATAGTCTGGGGACGATTCTCAGTATGTTTGAGCATGTTTGGAGCATGGGGGGCAGGCCCGACGTAACCCTTCCGTCTGCGCGTGGCCGACAAACAAGGACATCAGCATAGAAGCTCGGAGGTCCGCGCGGATCCCTCGAATCGGTGCTGGGGTCCCCTCTGGCGCGCTCCGCGCGCCAGGGAGGGGGGGGCGCAGCGCCGATCCCAGGAACTCGCGCGGACCGCTGAGCTGTTATGCTTGCTCGAGGTTGGGATGGCTTTCGGGAAGCCTCCTGCCTCTGAGAGAGCCCCCCGCCCCCCGGGCTTCTCGCAGCCGGTCGGCCCCCCTCGCGACAGGCCCCCCTCGTGCGCGCTTGCCGGCCTCCACCTGGGCATGGCGCGCTCCCAGAGCCGCTCGCGCCGCAACAGATAAACAAGGGCGCCCTCGAGGGCGCGAAGTTATTCGCGCTTCGCGCTTCGCGGTTCGGCTCCGATTCCTCATCCTCCTCCTCCTCCTCCTTTTCCCCCCCGGGAGGCGGCGCGAGAGCGCGAAGTTATTCGCGCTTCGCGCAGCGCGAAGCGCGAACTTAGGAGCCCTTGTTCAAGCAGTGGCGAAGCGTCCTGGCTCGCCTATATCGGGCCGGACGAAAGGGGGGGATTGGGAAAGGGGGGCTTACGACATTTGCTGCATGCAGCTGGTTTCGGCCTCACCGAGGGGCCCATTCCTCGATACACGGGCGGCCTCCGGCGCCGGGAGGCGCCGGGAAAGTCAGCTGCGTGAGCTGATTCTTGAACCCCCCTTTTGCTATCCCCCCCTTTCGCCCGACCCGACTATAGGCCCCCTAAAGAATGTTCTAAGAATTTTCGTGGGTTGCACGGGATGTTCTCAGAACAGTTCTGGCCGGGACTGGCTTGTTTGAGCACATCGGTTTTCAGTTCTAAGAACTCCGTTTCTGTTCTTAGAACATTTTGGGGTTTTAAAAGCATTTCGTGGTGGGCCTAAAGGATGCATGGACGGTCGGTCCTTGCTCAAGTAATGGGGGGGGGCTTCGGTGGCAAATCATAGGAGCCTGGCATGCCCTCTCAGTTCCGTCTCCAGCGTCGGTTAGCGTCGATGAGCTGGGAGTCGGCGAGATAGCGCCGATTTAGCGCCGGCTAGCGCCGATTAACGTCGGTTTAGCGTCGGTGATCGTCGATGTAGCGTCGCTGAGCGTTGATTTAGCGTCGACCAGGGTCGATTCGCAAGAGCCAGCAAGATGGGATGGGAGGCTTCAGTGATCTGCAACCGGATCATCCCCTTGCTGCCGGCTTGGAGGCCGTGCAGTGGGGCGGGCGACAACTGGGGGGGCAGCGAGGGATGCAGGAACGGAGCCCTTTTGGGCCCCCCAAGGGGGGCCTTGGGGGCCCGCGAAGGGCCTATGTATCCCCCCACCATGGATCGACCCCCATTCATTCGCGCCCAACCGGCTTTTTTCAGAGCGTGAATTACCTACCCCGCTTTCGCTTCAGGCAAAACCAAGCCATACCACGCGCCTCCTCGTCAAGCGGCCTGACCAGTACAGGCTGCAATTTGGCATCGTTTGGTATCTCTTGGAAGCGAGGGTGGTCAAAAGCGAGGTAGGTTTGTTTTCAAAAAGAAACATAAACATCAAGTCTTGGCGGTCCGCACGGATTTCTTGGATCCGCGCTGCCCCCCCCCCCTTGGCGGCGCCTCTGGGGCCGCCCCTGGCGCGCTCCGCGCGCCAGGGAGGGGGGCCCGGTGCAGATCCAAGAAGTCTGGGTGGACCGCCAAACGTTAATGTCTATGCCGCTTCTGGTTCCTCTATTTTTCGGGACCTTGGTTCCTCTATTTTCTTTTCTTTTTTTCCCAATGCACCTCTGACCTGCACGGCTTCTCTCTCTCTCTCTCTCTCTCTTCGCTTGTGACATCAAAGATGGCTCCTGGACGAAAAAGAGCCCAGGGCAGTGGCCGAGGCCTCTGGGGCCGTGGATTGGACAAATCAGATCGGCGGGTGTCGGGGAAGCACGCCCAGCTCACTGGAGGTGGGCTTTGAGGGATGCACAGCTGTCAACTCTCGCAGGTCCTCGCGGATTTTTTTCGGATCGGCGCTGGACCCCCCTTTATGGCGGCTTCTTCGGCCTTGTCCCTGTGGCCTGAAGTTCGGGGGTTGAGTTTGCTTCTTGCCCCGTTGTTTTTTCTTTGTTTCTGGGCCTCTAGGGACGCCCAATCTCTCTCTATCACAGGCACGGCTGAGTTCACCTTCAGTTTTTTGTTAAAACGCACCACGTACAGGGCGGAGCCAGTCGAAGATCGAATCAGGAACGACCTCGGAAGCACAAGCTCTCGGAGGTCGGGGCAGAGCGGAGCATTGCAGCTCTCGATGCGTAAGTTCTCGTGGATCGCATCTCTCGTCTACCTGCCATCCTGGGGCCCCAATCTGGCAGGACGTTCGATCGCGCAACGTCAACCGTTTCGTTCGAGTTGTTCGGTTTCCATGAGGCCCACCTCGTTCTGTGGAGGCGGCTTTGCGTAATGAGTATGCCAGGAAAGCTTCAGAGCCTGGAGGATGTCTTATCTGATGAGGGCGGTGGTGATATCCATGTCCATTGCCAATCTATGCTTGGAGTTCCCCCCGACTTCAGATTGCGGACTCCGTATCCACTGGGTTCTTCTTAGAGTCCTCCCACCACGTCGAGCTCGAAAGGCCAGGGACACCGGGGCCAGGACCACTCCTGCGAGCACCTGGGCAATTCATCAGATCCGATCGAGGCCTTCTTCAGGATCTGCGTTCTGAGCTCAGCAGGAGGAGGAGGAGGAGGGAGGAGGAGGCGTTTGAGGAGGAGGAGGAGGAGGAGGAGGAGGAGGAGGCCCTGGCCAGGAAGGCGTCCGTGCCGACTCCGGGTTCCAGGCTCTCCCCAGCCAGGAGCGGCGCTCGCGTGTGCACTTTTTACGGGGTGTGCGGGCGCTTAGTTGCCTCGATGCGTCCGTTTTAAAACGCAACGCGTCCCGTGTTCAAGACGTCCGTGTCAATACGTTGCGTGTTGGCTCCACGTATCGGACCACGCTTGGGCGAACGTATCGCGTCGGACCTGCGTTTGCAGCCTGCGTGTTGAGCTCCGTATCAGTACGCTGCGTGATGCGTGTTGCGTATCGGGGCCACTACGTGCGGGGGTCGTCCTCCATGGGGTCCTCCTCCTCCCCCTCCTCCTCGTCCTCCTCCTCCTCCTCCTCCTCCTCCCCCTTCACGACGGGCGAGGTTGCCTTCCTGCTCCTACTCCTCCTCCTCCTCCTCCTCCTCCTCCTCCTCCTCCTCCTCCTCCTCCTCCTCCTCCTCCTCCTCCTCCTCCTACTCCTCTCCTCCCTGCAGGTCGGCGCGTCCCGCGACGAGGCCACGGTGGACGACACGGAGGAGGAGTGCGGCAGGGCTTGGGGGGGCCCAGGCCGGCCTCAGCGGGGCCGCATCATGTGCGGGCATGTGCGTTTATTTGTTCGGAGAGTGTCCATGCTGTGCATCCGACTGTGCATCGGAATGTGTGGCATGTCCGCACATGTGCCGCCATGTTGTTGAGTCTTTTGAAGGGTTGCACGGGCATGTCCGTGCGACTGTGCGGCATCCGCGTGCATATGCGGCCCTTTGCGGACCTCAGAACTTAAAGTGAGCATGCGAGACATGAGCACTATAGAAATGAGTCCTTTGTCTGTTTGGAAGGCCCAAAGAGGCAGGGGCGTTGTCATACACTTGACCGCACCTTGGGCTCGATGCGTCGGGGATGCCCAATGATTGCTTCGCATGGAGCGAGGGGGCCCGACACACACCTGCCGCTGCTCCCCTTCTGCCTGGCCTCCTCCCTCAGGAAAGCGATTTGTCACAATGTCTGGCACGCGAACTATGACCCGCACGTGTGGAAACAACCCGGCAGAAGGTAGGTATTTTTCCCGAGCTGTCCTTGATTTGCGTGCCTTGGTTTCGACTTCGGCCTCCAGCCGGCGGCACTTTTTGGCCGATGTGTCGTTCGAGCGCGGCGTCAGATATGGATGGCCACGCACAGATGCCGGGCCATCTCGGGACCTTCGGAGATCGACGAAAAACGTGCCCAAAGATTTTTGCGTACATCTTTTCGTCAGCGGCGAGGCGGGGAAACCCGCTCCAGCGAGAAGCTAGAAAGCGGCGCAGACTAGCGAAGTGGCCGGCGGGCAAAGAGGGAAAGGGGGGACGGCCGAGAGGAAGGAGACACGCTCAGACGCCGAAGACTTCGACGATGTGCAGCCAGGCGGGGGGCGGGGGGCAGCAGCAGCGGCCAGGCGCGCAGGGCCATAGCGCGGTGGGCGGCCGTGGCGAACCACGGTGGCAAGGGCGGCGGGGAGCGGCAGCCGGCGCCAGGGGCTGGCGGGGAGCACGGTGGAACGCCGCGAACGTCTGTGCATCGCTCGGACGTGTGCATTTTTTTCCTCGGCGAGGACCATCGAGGAGTATCCTTGATCATTTGGCGAAGCAAAAACCACGCACGAAACCGAACAAACACAGGGAATATGACGTCCGAGCGATGGCCAGACGTCGCGCTGGAAGATTTCGCGCGCACGGGGCTCTGAAAATTGGGACCACGTCAGGCTCGGGAGAGGCTGCACTTCCCGGGTCGGTCCTCGGGTCGGGGGTCCGGTTCGACGTCGCGAGGCTCGCCGTGGGCGACAGAGAAGGCCTCTCGTTCCTGGTCCGGCGTCCCCCAGACGCTGGCACGAGGACCGTGTACGTAAGTCGGGCCTGTGCCTCTACACGGGGATAATTCAGAAGCGGTCATCAGAATACTCTTGGGACGTGCTTTTTCTTTCGAAAACAACAAAAAACTGGTTTGGAGCATGTTCGGAACTCGTTCGACCTTTAAAGGATCGTCCAACATCCGCCTGTAGGGGGACGTGCCCGACGTAACGCTGCGTTGGCACGACGGAAGCCCACGTCGCCGCGCCGTCTGCTCCGACGCGCGGGCCGTCTCTTGGGCCAGGCGCCGCGGTCTCCGGGGCGCAGGCTCCGCCCCGGGCGCGGGGCCTGCGCTGGCTCTGCCAGGTAGGCGCCGGCGGCGCCTCCCCCGGGGCGCGGGGCGCAGGGCGTGCCCGTGCGGTGTGCCGCGGTGTGTGGGGTCTCGTCCGCTCGGGGCGCTCGTCACGGGCAGACGTCGGAAGGGGAAAAAACACACAGACACAATTACTTAATCGTCGATTCCTCAGAAAATATGGGAACATATGGGCAGTGGGGGGGAAGACGAAAACCAAACAAAAATAGGAAACTCTGGGGGATACTTTTATTTGTGTGTATTTATTTGTGTGTCCTGGGGCCCCTGTAAGACGGCGCGGCGGTACCTTCTGCGATCTCTCAGCGTAGGAGGCGTTCCAAAAGCCACCGAGCGCGTTCCACTACTCGCAAGCTGTTCGGGGGTGGAGAGACCTCCTACCCTGACACGTCGATTGGCAAACTGGCCGTTTTCGGTTCGCGAGAGGGCGTCGCGGCCGTCATCTTTGCGGGTCCGGGTCCGTCGGTTTCGGTCCCAGGCCGTTTTCACTGAGGGGAGGTTCACCAAAGGGAGGCTCGTCCACCGCCGAACTGTTTTGTCGCAGACGCCTAAGACAAAGACGTGTCCTCCTACCGGGGGAGCGCAAGACCCGGGTTTGCCAGGACTCGGGTTCGGCATCGTTTTTTGACGACCGCGCCTCGGATTTTGACGAGGAGGAGTTTCGTGGGATGTCTGCAGCGGGAGGCCTCGTCAAAATGCAGGCTCGGCCTCGTCATTTTTGTCGACGACCCCGTCGGGGATCTCCGAGTCCCCTGTGCCCAGGTCTTACGTCCCCCTGATCCTACAGGTACGGTAGGTTCGCGTCGTGTCGACCAGCGGCGACCCCAGCGCGGGCGTTCAAGGTTGAACGCCGCCGGCGGCCCAGAATCGGTCGATGTTGAACGATTGGAGGTTGCGGACATGGCCGATCGTTCAAGGTTGAACGATCCCTGCGGTGTCAAAAACCAACGCCGGGGTCGACACGACACGAACCTGCCGTAGTGGATCGCGTCGGGCCCAGGCCACCTGCGAGCAGCAATTGTTGCGAGTCGTGGGGCGCGCCTCTCCGAGAGAGAGAGAGAGAGAGTCTCCGTTGCCTCCTGGCATCGGAGGCGTCGTCCTCCTCGTCCGCGGGCGGGAGGTCGGCGGAATGGCCACACGATTGATGGGCCTGTTTTCCACCACCACCACCACAAGTTGGGTGGGGAGGGGTCCTCCTCCTCCTCCTCCTCCTCCTCCTCCTCCTCCTCCTCCTCCTGCTCCTGTTCGTCCTCCTCGTCCTCGTCCTCACCCTCCCTCCCCCCTCCAACTTCTGGTGGTGGTGGTGGAAAACAGGCCCATCGACACGAGGCCGCCTCCGCGGGCGGGGGGCGGGCGGAGGGCGGCGAGAGGGAGAGGTTGCGCCAATCGGAGGTAAAGCGCCTTCGGGTGCAGGGTGTCCAGGGCGGCGAGGGCCGTGCAGCTCCGCCGCCGCTGGTCCACGCTACTAGTTACCCCCCTCGTTCTACGGCCTGCCCTCGTCTTGTGATGCTCCAGCCTGCTTTGGCCCTGACTGCCAGAAAGAGCTTCGAGCGCCCCAAAACAATAAGTACCGAAGCTCAAGGGCTTTCACGTGTCGGGCCCTGGGAGGCACTCGCCCGACACTGTTTCGACACTCTTTTCACCCTTCTCCGGGTGCTCGATTTTTTTTCAGGGATGCGGTCCTTAAGTAGGATGGGAGCCACATAACCAGAGTCCACCATATGTCAAGGGAGGAAAAATCACCCCGACCCGAGAACCGTCGTTTACTGAACGGCTCTGGGCGTATACTGAACACTCGATTCCTGCTCTGGGTGCTTTTACTAAACGGCTTCGCGTGTCGGGGTGATTATGGCAATGGTTGGATTTCCTGCTCACCAATATGAACCTGCTGTAGCCTTCTGTCAGGCCTGTCCCCCTACAGGGGGATTTTCCATGAAAAAAAAGAATACCCCCAAAATAGTCCAAACACAGTCCCAAAATAGCCTTGGGCGGTTCAAACGACGTGCTCTGGGCGCGGGGCGACTCTCGGGGGCAGCCGCCCGCGCTGCAACGCGGGGCTGAATGTGCGCGGGCGGGCCCCCCAAACTGGGGAAGACCGCTCAGGGAGCGGTCCGGAGAGCGCTCCTCTCGGAGCGTGCCCTGAAAGTCCAGTACAGCAACCTCGCTGAACCTCCTGCGCCTCCTCCTCCTCCTCCTCCTCCTTCCCCAACTCCACCTCGTCCTTTCCTCCTCTTCCTCCTCCTCCTCCGCCTCCTCCTCCTCCTCCTCCTCTTCTCCTTTTCCTCCTTCTCCTCCTCCCCCTCCTCCTCTCCGTCTTCTCCTCCTCCTCCTCCTCCTCCTCTTCCGCATTCCACACTCCCTGGGTTTCTCTCCTCCTCCTTCTCACGCCTCCTTCCTCCGCCTCCTCCTCCCCCCCTCCCTCCTCTGCCATGTCCCTCTCCTCCTCCCCCTCCTCCTCCCCTCCTCTCCTCCCTCCTCCTCGTTTTCCTTCTCCCCCTCTCTCCTCCCTCCTCCTCCTCATCCTCCTCCTCATCCTCTCCTCCTCTGTCCTTCTCGTTCTCCTCCTCCTCGTTTTCCTTCTCCCCCTCTCTCCTCCCTCTCCTCCTCCTCCAGTCCACCTCCCTCCACTCTCCTCCTCCTCCTCCTCGCTCCTTCCTCCTCCTCCTCCTCCTCCTCCTCCGCTTCTTCTCATCCTCCTCCTCCTGCTTCTGCCTCCTCTTCCTCCTCTCCCCTCCGCCTCCTCCTCCTCCTGCTCCTGCCTTCTCATTCCTACCTCTCCTCCTCCCCCTCCTTCTCCTCCTTCTCCTCCTCCTCTCCTCCTCCTCTTCCTCGCTTCTTTTCCGCCCTTCTCCTCCTCCCTCCCCCTTTCTCACCCCTGTCCTCTCCTCCTCGTAACTTCTCCCTCCTTCTTCTCTTCTTCTCCTCCTCTCCCCTCCTCCTCATCCTCCTCCTCCGCCTCCTGCCTCCGCCTCCTCTCCTGCTCTCTCCTCCTTCTCCTACGTTTTCTTCCCACCCCCTCCTCCTGCCCCTCCTCCTCCTCCTCCTCCTCCTCCTCCTCCTCCTCCTCCTCGTTCTCCTCCTCCTCCTCATCCTCTTTCTCCTCCTCCTAGTCCTCCTAGTCCTCCTCCTCCTCCTCCTCCTCCTCCTCCTCATCATCATCATCCCTCTCTGTCCCTTCTCCTCCTCCGCCACCGCCTCCTCCTCCGCCTCCTGCTTTCCCTCCTCCTACTTCTCCTCTTCATCCTTCTCCTTCTCCCCCTCTCCTCCCTCTCCTGCTTCCCCTCCTCTTTTTCCTCCTCATCCTTCTCCGCCTCCTCATCATCACCATCATCCATCGTCATCGTCATCATCATCATCATCATCATCATCATCATCATCATCATCATCATCATCATCATCATCATCAGCATCACCTCATCATCATCATCAGCAGCATCATCAGCATCATCATCATCATCATCAACATCAGCATCATCATCAGCATCATCATCGTCATCATCATCAGTACCATCATCAGCATCTTCATCATTGTCAGCGTCCTAACCAGCATCATCATCATGATCGTCAGCATCATCAGATTCACCATCATCATCAGCAGCAGCATCATCATATTCATCATCATCATCGTCGTCGTCATCATCATCATCGTCATCATCGGCATCATCATCATCATCATCATCATCATCATCATCATCATCATCATCATCATCATCATCATCATCATCATCATCACTATCAGTACCATCATTACCATCATCATCATCATCATCATCATCATCATCATCATCATCATCATCAGCATCAGCATCAGCATCAGCATCAGCATCAGCATCATCATCATCCTCCCCCTCCTCCTCCTCCTCCTCTTTCTCCACCTCCTCCTCCTCCTCCTCCGCCTCCCCCTCCTCTCCTCCTCCTCCTCCCCCTCCTTCTCCTCCCCCTCCTCCTCCTTCTCCCATATCCTCCTCTTCCTCCTCCTTCTCCCCCTCCTCTCGCCTTCCTCCTTCTCCCCCTCCTCCTCTCTTCCCTCTTCCTCCTATCACCCTCCTCCTTCTCCTCCTTCTCCTCCTCCTCTTCTCTCCTCCTCTTCCTCCTCCGTCTCCTCCTCCCCCTTTGCCTCCTCCTCCTTATTCTTCTTCCCTCCCCTCATTCTCTTCCTCTATCACCTCCTCCTTCTGCTCTCCTTCTCCCCCCTCCTCCTCCTCCTCCTCCTGCTCCGCCTCCCCTCCTCCTCCTTCTCCTCCTCACTCCTCTCCCCTCCCCCTCCTCTTCTTCCTCCTCCTCCTTCTCCTCCTCCCCGTCATCCTCCTCCCCTCCTTCTCAACTCCTCCTCCATCACGAATCCTCTCTAGACTCTTTCTCCTTCTCCTTCTCCTCCTTGTCCTCCTCTCCTCCTCCTCTTCCTCCTCCTTTTCCCCCTCCTCCTCCTCCTACTCCTCCCCTCCTCCTTCTCCTCTTCCTCCTCCTCCTCTCCTCCTCCTCCTCCTCTCCCTCCTCCTCCTCCTCCTCCTCCTCCTCCTCCTCCCCGCCTCCATCATCTCAAACCTATACCTTCTCCTCTCATCTTCTCCCTTCCTATGTCTCCTCCTCTCCTCCTCCTCCTTCCTCCTCCTCCTCTCTTGTCCCTTCCTCTCCTTTTTTTCGGGGCGGGGCGGGGGCACTCTTTGACTCCTTTTCAACTTCTCCTCCTCCGTGTCTCGTGCGGTCCTCTCTCCCCTCCTCGTTGTCTGCGTCATCGTCCTGTGCTGCTTCTCCTCCTCTCACACGTCGTCGTGTCTCCTCCGTCCTCCCCTCCTCATCCTCCTCCTCCTCCCCTCCTCCTCCTCCTCCTCCTCCTCCTCCTCCTCCTCCGCCAGCTCCTCCTCCCCCTCTTTCCCTTCTGGCCCAGAGCAGTACAGCCGCTCGGGGTCGGATAGGGCTCGCTTTCCGTCGGGGTCTTCCCTGGTTGTTTTTCCAGGGGCTCCTTATTCGATCCTCCTGGTAGCAGCTTGGCTGTAAGCCTTTGAAGCTGTTTCTTTGAAATCATGTCGCCGCCCGACCGACCGAGGCAGACCAGCCGCCGCAGGGGGGAGCCGCCCCAAACTTACGCCCCTCGGAGGCCCACGGTCTTCGACACTAGATCGTCGCCAGGACGGGTTCCCCCAGGTGGGCTGCGGACAGTACAATTCGCTTTGGGGCGCTGTGGTTTGGCCGCGGCGCCCGCTGCGTCCGCCAGAGCCGCTGGATCTGAGAGATCTCCGATGTGTCCCAGTCCGATCTTGCCTCGGGCCTATAGCTGCAGCTTCGGTTTGGAGACCGCCCCAGGATTGTCACCGCTGCCTGTTTTGAAGGCGGCTGGGACTGCCACGCCTGCCCCTGCGCTATGCCACCCCCTCTGCCCCCGCCGGCCCCCTTGCGGCCTCGCCTTCAGTCGGGCCTGTCCCTCTGCAGGGGGAAGATTCAAGAGAATAGTACCATAGTCAGGGGACGATTTTTAATATCTGTTAGCATTTTTGGTGTTTTTTGCATATTTTTGATTTCTCGCCCAAAGTCCCCCTGTAGGGGGACAGGCCCAACCTAAGCCTCGGCCCGAGGAGTCGGACTTCGGCTTCCTCGCCGATCACATCTACGAGCCCGAGTTCCGGAGCGTGTGAGCAGCGTGCCGGCACCCTCCGCATGTGCCCGAGGCCCCGTCCTGTATCGAAGGCGACGATCGGGGCGAACAGCCCAGGGGGGAGCAATGTCTTTATGCAGAGGCGCCGATGGTTGATGTATTCGGCGAGGCGGCCCGGCTGAGGAGGAGGAGGAGGAGGAGGAGGAGGAGGCGGAGGGGAGGAGGAGGAGGAGGAGGAGGAGGAGGAGGAGGAGGAGGAGGAGGCTCATGAGGCCGATTAGGCGAGGGCCCGGAGGAGGTAGGGAGGAGGCGGGGAGGGAGGAGGAGGGGAGGAGGAGAGGAGGAGGAGGAGGAGGAGGAGGAGGTCATGCCCGCCCCTGGGCTGAGCGCCCTTCTCGTCGCCGCCGATGGCAGGAGAGACCGGCCGGGGGTTGGCAGAACCCCGACCCTGCCATTTTGAGAATTGGCCCCGCTCGGCACGCGCGCGTGCTCTGGGAGACCGAGGCGCGCCTGGGTGCCCGCACGGCCGGGCCCTCCCTGCCGTCTCTCTCTGCCCTGCTGTCCCTGGTGCTTCTCCTCCTGCGCGTCCTCTCGCCTCCGCATTGGCGAGGGTGGGATGAGGGCGATGGAGGAGGACGAGGAGGGGGAGGAGGAGGAGGAGGAGGAGGAGGAGGAGGAGGAGGAGGAGGAGGAAGGAGGAGGAGGAGGAGGAGGAGGAGGAGGAGGAGGAGGAGGAGGAGAATGAGGAGGAGGAGGAGTAGGAGGAGGAGGAGGAGGAGGAGGAGAAGGGGGAAGATGGGAGGGGGAAGGAGGAGGCACGACGAAGGCGGCGATCCCGTTGTCCCTCAACACGCTCCCTTTCCTGGTGCTGCTCCTGGTTCTGCTCCTCGTCCCCGTCTGCAGCCCTCCTCCCTGAGAAACGACGTCACGAGCAGTTGGCAACATCGAAACAACAAGGTCGACCAGAGCCCTGGACCTCGTCTTTCTGCGGCACCGTTCGAGCTGGATGGGAGCCCCGGGAGGCAAAGTCGCCCGCTGCGGCAAAAAAAAGCAGCACCAGGATCTAAGAGTCGTCGTCACGACGGGATGCCCAGGAGCCAGCAGTGGAAAGTCGTCCCCCAGACCTCTCCTGGGTTAAGTCGGGCCTGTCCCCCTACAGGGGGATTTTCGACGAAAAATAAAAATACACCAACAATAGTCCAACAATAACCAACAAATAGTATGGGGACTATTTTTTGTATATTTGTTTTACCTTTTTTTCTGGTATTTTTAGGTTTTTTTCATCTAAAATCCCCTTGTAGGGGGACACGCCCGACGTAACTCCTGGGGTGCGTTCTGGTCGAAGTTCGGGGCGGAGCCAGCCGCGGAGCCGAGAAGCCCGAGGGTGGCGCAAACAGCCTCTGAGGCTCCTAAGAACTCCAAGGGACGACTTCGGATTTCTCAGGATTCCCGACGGATTCCTGCGGATCCCGGCGGATTCCTGTCGATTTTTGGGGGGTTCCCAGGGACCCCTCAGGTTCCTTGAGGATTCCTTTCTGGGTTCCTGGGGATTCCTGAGGATTCCAAGGGATTCCTCGAGGTCGAGGTCGGTGTCCCCGCGCTCGTCTGCTCTTCCCCTCGGCCCGCCGTGCGGCTCTCCGGGCGCCCACGTTTGAGACCCGCCGGCCGCGGCACGCGAGCGGCAGGAGCGGCAACAGAAAAAGCTGCCCTCCGAGGGCAGCGCCCGCTCGCGCCTCGCCGGAGGTGGGGGGGGGGTGCCTGCAGTCCAGGGGAGGGGGGCCTTGTGGTCCGGGGGGGGGGGATAGAGACCAATAATGACAGCTGTGGGGTTCGAACCCACGCCCTTGCGGACTGGCGCCTTAAGCCAGCGCCTTAGACCGCTCGGCCAAACTGTCTTCGATTTCCCCTTGTGTAGGGCTCCCAGGTGGGGTCCGAGGAGAGGGGGTCAGAGGATCGCGCCGCGTCGCCGATGCGTCGACGATGCGGCTCGATGTGGAGCTCCACTTGCTGCGCGCCAGCGTCGCCGATGCGTCGGCGACGCGGTACAGTGCTCCGAGCCCGCATCTCCGGACCCATTCAAATTTATGGAAGTCTCTAGCCTCTCGGGGGCCCAGTTTGCCGAGGTGCTCAGAGCAGCGACGCTTCTGGTTGTCTCCTGGCGACGTCTGGCGAGACGCGAGGGGGGGGGAGGGGGGGAGGGGGGGGAAGGGGGGTGCTCAGAGCAGCGACGCTTCTGGTGATCTCCCGGCGACGACGGGCGAGGCGGGTGGGGACGGGGGGGGGGGTCTGGTCACGCCACGATGCGCGCTGGCGCCGTCTGGGGCTGCTGCGGAGCGGCTGCTTCCCACGGCGCCGCCACGAAGCATGGCGCGGCCAGGGGAGGGGGGGGAGGGGGGGGGAGGCGGGGCTGGTCCGAGGCATGGTCGCGGACGAGCACGGCCCAGGGCGGCGAGAGCCATGCAGCTCCACCGCCGCTGGTCCGCGCTACTAGTTACCCCCCCTCGTTCTACTCGGACCCCGGCCTGCCCTCGTCTTAGGATGCCCCGATCTGCTTTAGCCTTGGTCACCAGGAAGAAGTTCGAGCGGCCAACAAAAAGTACCGAAGCTCAAGGGTTTTCGCGCGTCGGGCCCTGGGAGACACTGTTTCGAAACTGTTTCGCCGCTCTTTTGATATTTTCCCTGGTGCCCGAAACAATTTCTGGGACGTGGCCCTCAAGTATCGGGGGCGGCAAAGAGGGGGGTGCTGCCTAGGGGGGGGATCTCATGGCGGGGGCCATGATATTTCCCAGATGTCATGGCGCCTCTTCTTACGTCATTACGCCCCTGGCCCCCCCGCGGGTCCGCGCACATGCCGCCGGCCACGATCTGCGCCCCCCCCTCTTGGACGCCCCCCTCATTGGCCGCATCCGAGAGTAGGATGGGAACAGCGTAGCCCTCGTGGCGCCTCGTGCGGACCATGTATTAAACATGCAGGGATTTAGTTTTTAAGACAACGAAGAGTTCATGCATCAGTTTATGCATGCATTAGTCCTGCACTCAAAATCCAATATTCTTAAAAATCCTATGTGTGAAAAACTGCCCTGTAAGTAGGATGGGAGCAGCGTAGCCCTCGTGGCGCCTCCGCTGCCGCCCCCCGGACGCCCCGCCCCCGGCTCTCGGCGGCCCGCGTGCCCCCCCGGGGGGTCGGTGGCCGCAGGGGGGCCTGCCCTCGGTGCGTGCAGGCGGGGGGCCCCCCGCGCCGCGGGGGCGGCGCGGGTGCCCGAAGGTTCGGGGGCGGCAAAGAGGGGGGGGTGATGACTAGGGGGGGAGGGATAGCATGGCGGGGGCCCTCCTTCTCCTCCTCCTGCTCCTCCTCCTCCTCCTCCTGCTCCTCCTCCTCCTCCCTCCTCCTTCTCCTCCTCCTCCTACTCCTCCTCCTCCTCCTCCTCCTCCTCCTCTCGCCCTGCCCCATTCGGGGGCGGAGAAGAGGGGGGTGATGACTAGGGGGGGGGGGATAGCATGGCGGGGGCCATGATGTTTCCCCAGATTTTACGGCGCCTCCTCTCACTTCATGGCGTCCCTGGCCCCCTCGCTGGGCCGCGCACACGCCGCCGGTCATGATTTGCACCCCCCCCTCTTGGACACCCCGCCTCTGTGCCGCTCCCGAAAGGTGTTGGGCGGGCGTGTCAGAGAAACAGTCAACAAAGAATCCACCAATGTTCAGTCAAAGAGTCGTCCACGGATTAAGAAAACAAAAATTCTTGAATGTGCCTCCTGTAGAGGGACACGCCCGACTGAACCTTGAGGGCCTGGCTCGGTGCGACCGACATGGGTACGGAGAGACTGGGCACTCGGAGGAGGCACACCAAGACGTGTTTCTAGGCCTCCCGGGTGGGGTCCGAGTAGACGGGGCCGGAGGATCGCGCCGCATCGCCGATGCATCGCCGATGCGGCTCGATGCGGAGCCCGATTTGCTTCACGCCGGCGTCGCCGATGCATCGCCCACGTCGACGATGCATCGCTGGCGCATCGCCGATGCATCGCCGATGCATCGGCGATGCATCGGCGATGCGGCGCGGTCCTCAGACCCCATCTACCCCGACCCCATCCAGGCACCCCGTTTGGTTCCTTTAGTAGTTTTGAACAGGACTCCCAGAAGCCCGTATGGCCAACAGCGGCCGTGCAGATGTTTTGGACGACGCTTGAGGTCGGGGCAGACCAGCCCCTTCCGCAACCGTTTCGGGCGTCCCAGTCGAGGAGTTTCCGTCCATCGATTTGCGTGGGTCGGGCCAGATAAATTGGGGTACAACCGCATCAAGCAATTAAGAACCCCTCCCCTCTCCAGCGAAAGTATAACGCACCCGGCACTCCAGAAGCGTCACCCTTGCACCTCGCACCTTTATGTGAACGCAGGCGAGTCTGCTCGCCGAAACAAGCAAACCGCCTGAGACATTCTCGCAATATGGTCTCCTTGCGGTTCTGAAACAAGCGCCTCGCCTGAGACATCCTCAGAAATTGCTCTGGACGCAGACGAGTCTGCGTCAGGTGGTCGGTCTGGGCCAGAACTGGAGTGGCCGCGCGTCTTCCCAGCGCTCTGCCTTCCGAGCAGGGGTCCTCTTACTCTTCCCCTTCGCCCTTCTCAGGGGTCCTCCTCCTCGTAGTCCTCCTCTTCAGGGGTCCTCCTCTTTCTCCCCTCCTCCCCCCCGTAGCCATTTTGGCTCTTATTCGCCATTACGGATCAAGCCGAGGGCCAAGGCCTCAGTCAAAAGGCTTTGGCCCAACTAAAGAGAAAACATCTCCCTCCTGCTCCTCCAACACGAACAACGACAATAATACCAGCACTAAGAATTGTATCTAGAACAACAAGGCCAATAACAGCAACACCAACAACAACAACATCAATATCAGAATCACCAACAACACCGCCAACACCAATAATAACAACATTGAGTCCCACGCAAGGGAGAGGCCAGTTTTGAAAAGGAGCCATCCGTGCCGACGATGGGGGTGAATAATGTTGGCGGCGCGGGTGCTAAGATATCGCGCCGTGCGCGGAGGGGGCGGTATCCTCGGATGCACTACCCCACACGACGGCCGGGACAAACAATGTTTCAACAGGGGTGGTAATACAAACCGTATGGGACAAGGATGATGAAGATCTGAGGCAAATGTTTAATGATTTGCATGTTTTATTCGCATTCGCATTCATCTGTTTATTATAACTGTGATTATCATTATGATTGTTATCATTAGTTGTATAATTTTATTTCGGATCTTGATTATGGTTACTGTCATAACTCTCATTGTTTCTTTGATGTTTATTGAGAGTATTATCCTTACTCTTATTATTGTTCTTAGTGTTATTGTGATTATTCGTAGTTGCATGTTTTATGATTGTTCTAATTACCACGCGTATCAGCATTCTGATTCTTACTATCCATATTTGTATTATTTTCCGGGTTCTGATTATTATTCGCATTCTGGGTAATATTATCACTCTTTGACTTGCTCTTATTATGCCTTGTATGCTTACATAACTACTACTCGCATACCACTCTTATTATTATTCGTATTCCCAGTCCAATTGGGACATCACCCGAGCCGGGGCGCGGGAACTATTTATCTTCGTTCCAGTTGCGCGGTGCTAATCATATCGTTCGGCGAAAACCGCCCCCCAGAATTATTAATTACGGTGCTGTGCTAATGGTAACCCCGGGGGGGCCTTAATGGCTTCTTGCGGTTACCCACATTCGAATAGGTGATCGACTACAGAGTTAGGTTGCCCCAGAATTGATTATCTCGTCGGGTCTACGAACAACGACTAGCATGCTCGTAGATCTACGAGCATTCCACGTACCCTTCGCTGCCCCGGCGAGTAACTCATTTCCGGGGTGAACCAATGCTGCAGTCGATCCGTTACTCGACGCATGAGTGACGGAAGGAAGCGGGGTCGACCGTGCCGGCTGTCGCGCGTGAGTTTCCCGCGCAAAAGGTGACGCGCTGGCGGCCCGCGTAAGCTACAGCGTAAGGTTGAGTCGGGCCTGTCCCTCCACAGGAGGAATAGATTTACAACTAGTCAAAAATAGTATGGGGACGTTTTTTTTTTGGGGGGGGGGTATTTTTGGCTATTTCTGAGCATTGTTTGCATCTGTTTATTGTTCGTCCAAAATCAGCCTGTAGGGGGACACGCCCGACTTAAGCGTAAGGCCGCAAGATGCCATCGCGCGCAGGGTCTGGTTCTTGTCGTCGCTCATGTGCATCGAGGCGCATCCGGACCCAAACCTCAGAAATCATATGTTTCGTTCACAATCTCGACCCCAAATGTCTCGACCCATTCTCTGGGACCGGCCTTTCGTCCCGATGTTTCTTCCACGGTCTTGGGCCCCATGATGGCCCCCAAGATGCCGAAGACGCAGAACAATTTGTCCGTTCTTCAGCCACGCTCAGAGGGGGGGTAGGGGAAGGGGGGAGGGTTTCTAAGAAGCACCCTTGCTTCTTAGAAGGCGTGGGCCCGATCTGTAGATGTAGGGCCCGCGCCTTCTAAAACTCCTTCCACGAAGCCCTCCTCCTACCCCTTGTGCACGCCGCCAAGACTTCGGGGGCAACGATTGGGGAATGGTCATAGTGGGAATGCATCGACCCCCAATCGCCCATTGATCGCCAATAGGGGCCCGATAGCCCCAACCTGCCCAGGAACTCACGAGCCACTATCGGGCACCTATCGCCGATCTATCGGCGATGTATCGCCGGTTCCAGGTCGATGCTTTCCCCTTGTGCTTATCCCCCGCCGATCGCTGCCCCTCAACTAAGGGGAGATGGATGGCGGGGGCCATAGTATCTGGGAGGAGGAACAAGTACCGATGTCGCTACCCTTCCCTCGTTTTCGCTTTTCTTGCGCCTCCTGGGAGGCCCTCGTCGCCACCGCTGGGTTCGTTTTGAAACTCTTGTCAGAATGCACCCCGCGAGAGGTCCAAGGAGTAGCAGTATCGCTTCCATGCAACACAGTCGAAATCGATAGTAAGGATGGGCAATCTTCCCAAGGACAGCCTTGCATCCTTGCCTCCTTGGTCCATCCTTAACCCCTTTCGATTGCCAGCCCCGACCGAAAAGATTCGAAATGGGCGTCCACGGGGGATTGCATATGTATCCCGCATCCTTCGTATCGTCGGCGGCAGCGAGGGGGGGAAGTGAGAAGGAGGAGGCCTTCGCTGAAGGCCACAGGGGCTTCTCAGAAGCCCCTGTGGCCTTTGAGAAGTGTTCCGTGCATCCAGGGAAGGCTTCGGACACTTGTCTCTCAGGAGGGAAAGAAACACGCAGACACAATTAATCGGCGATTCCCCTGAAAATATAGGAAAATATAGGCAGTGGGGGGGAAGACAAAAACCCAGAAAATATGGGAAAAGATAGGGGAATCATTTTATTTGTGTGTATTTATTTGTATGTCCCAGGGTCCCTTTAGTCTCCGAAGGCCGGGAGACCCCCGCGTCGTCCAGGAGGGCCCGCCCTCGCCGGCCGTCGGCCAATACCTCCTCGCATGTCGTGGCGCCTCTTCTCACTTCGGTGCGTCCCCTGCCCCCCCCCACCCCGTCTTGGCCCGCACACCTGCCTCGGGCCATGGTTTGCGAGCCCCCCTCCCGGGCGCCCCCCCCCCAGGAGCGAAAGAAGGACGTACATGTACATGAATCCACGCTGGTTTCGAGAGTGCGCATTGCGCAAATGTTCGTACGACGCGGCCGGTCTCGCGGATCGAGGGGCCGTGTTCATGTACATAGCTGGGCGCGTACGTCCTTTGTGGGCTCCCCCCCCCCCCCCATCACCGGACGCCCCCGACGACCCGGAGAGCGCCAGCGTTCGGCCACGCGCATCGCAGGAGGGAAGGCTTCTCAGAGGCACGGCCTGCTGCTTTGCAGGCGCGGGCCTTCTCTCTAGATGCAAGGCTGGCGCCTACCAATAGGCAGCCACTTTTTCTGAGAAGCCCCCCCCCCCCTCCTACCCCCCCTGTGTGCGCCGCCAGCACGCGCCGAAAACCACGACGAGCAGTTTTGTTGACAAGGTTCGCTCTCGCGGGGCCCTCGCCGGCCCCAGGACCGCCAGGAAAGGATTCGGCGGCTCGGGATGAGGAGCCAGCCCAAAGGAAAGGGTCGGGACACGGGGGAGCCACGCGCTGGAGCAAAAGTCAAGATATCGGATGCCCGGGCAAAGGTCCACAGGACTAACCAACGACTAGCGACACCCATACCCATGGAGAAGGAGGAGGAGGAGGAGAAGGATGAGGAGGGGAGGAGGAGGAGGAGGAGGAGGAGGAGGAGGAGCAGGATGAGGAGGAGGAGGAGGAGGAGGAGGAAGAGGAGCAGGAGCAGGAGGAGGAGCAGGAGGAGGAGGAGGAGGAGGAGGAGGAGGACGGCGGGGGCTGTGATTGCGCGTTGTCACATGGGGGTCCGCGCTCGAATTGGAGCCTCACCCGGGGTCCGACAACACTGACAAGTACCCATCGATCATAGACAGTCTTCCTCCCTCCGACCCCCTGTATGGGCACCCGTCTGTCGTTGAAAGTAGGTCTTCTCGGATTCCCCGATCACAATCTACTTCAAGCGCATCCCTTCTTCATTCATCGATCTGCTCTTTATGTGTGTTGTTGCTATCTGGGCGGGCTCGAGCCCAGTCCACTTTGTCCGCCTTCCTACTGTATGCTTTGACCCACTCTTCCCGACCGACGTGCATGGGTGTGTGTGGGTGGGTGGGTGGGTGGGTGGGTGTGTGTGTGTGTGTTGTTTCGTCCGGTCGTCAAGGATGTTCCGCGAGGCTCAGGCTGGGAGCCGACCTGGATGGCAGCGGAGGGCCAGAGCTGGCCCCGTTGCCAGCAGAGGGGCGGGAGAGAGGGGCCGCCCACATCGCCACGGCTCAGGGCTCAATTTGATTACAGTCGGGGCGCTGAAGAAGGAACCCTTTTCGTTGGGGAGGGGCTCGGTGTTCCTTGATTGTTTTACAGTTTGCCTTGGGTTTTCCTGAGGCTTTCCATGGGAAATCAAAGTTCAATTTATTGATAAAAGGGGCCTCGTTCTTATTCAGGGTTCCTTAGGTCAACGCCCCGACTGTATCAGCAGGTGTTTCCGATGCCGATTCTCGAGTCGACTTCGGATTCCGATTTGGGGTCGGATTTCTCAGGGGAGGCCTATTGGCCTGCCGATGCCTGCCGATTCGACTTTTCCCGGCTCGGCTGCCGATTTCCGCCGATCCGATTCACGTCGATCGCCGATTTGGCTAGTCGATTCCATCATGTGCTCTCTTGACGGCGGAACGCGGCTGGAGAAATTCGCTACCTTCGACCTTGGGAAGGGCCCAGGGACAAGTCTTGGGCGGAGTTGCCTTCGTATTGCAGCAGCGTGCGTAGAACACTCGACTGGAGCTGTGAACCACATCTTTGTGCGCCATTTGCCGAGCCAGACCCGTCCTTGAGGGTCCCTTCGGCCCGAAGCCGGGCGAAATCGCCTGTCGTGGCAAAATGCGACGCCAGGATCTCAGAGTTGGGTTGGGGACAACCTTTGTCAAGCTTTGGCGAATTCTTTTGGCTCGCCTACAGTCCCACCAAACAATGTTCTCATGACCTTTTTTTTGGGGGGGGTGAGCGACATGTTCTCAGACCATATCTGGCTCAGTCCGCTTTGTTTGTTTTAACACATCGGCTTCATGATTTGAGAGCATTGTTGCTGTTATTAGAACAGTCTCTTGTTCTAAGACCATGTCGTTGTATGCGGGCAGGAATGCCGGGACGGTCGGTCCATGCTCAACCTTTGGTAGCCCCCAAGCGTCTTCCCTCCGCCTGAGGCGGCCAGCCGCCGGAACATCTCCAGGGAGGAGATGCTGCGGAGGATCCTGTACGTGATCCGGAGGGACCCCAGGTGCAGCGGCGGAGCGGAAGGATGATGTGACCCCTCCTCTCGGAGGAGGAGACGGTGCCGATTCCTCTACCCCGTGCTCGTTTTCGCCTGTTTTGGGCCCCTGAGAGGGTCGTCGCCACCGCTGGAGTCGCCTCGAGATCCTTGTCAGAACGCACTCCGGGAGAGGTCTTGGGGAGTGACGGTTTGGTTGCAGCTTGGTTTCCACATCCTCTTCCTCCAGGAAGGGGGGGGTGGGGAGGCAGGAGCGAGGAAGCAGGAGAGGGGAGGGAGGAGAGGAGGAGGAGAAGGAGGAGGAGGTTTTGGGAGGTCTCGGTTCTTCGGGGTGCCTCTAGGCGGCTAGGGGGCGAGGTATAGGGGGGCTCAGGGGGATCATCCGGGGAGGTCCTGGATCGTCCTACAGTCAACCAGCATCCAGCATGGTACGGATGAGCGACTTTCCAAGATTACCCTTGCTTTCTCGCCCTTCGGCCCATTCTGAGCCACTTTCGCTGGCCGCGCCCCGCTCGCAAAGTGTGGACATGGCCTTCCAAGACCACTGCATCCTTATCGTGCGTCCTTTGATGCTGGTTGAGTGTATTACCTCCTCCTCCTCCTCCTCCTCCTCCTCCTTCTCATCCTTCTCGTTCCCGATTCCTGATGGCCTGAGTGTGGAGGAGAGCAAGGGCGAAAGAACGTCGTTCGTAAGCCGCTCCTTCCTCCTACGCCTCCACCTCCACCTCTTCCTCCTCCTCCTCCTCTTCCTCCATCCTCCTCCTCATCCTCTTGCCTCCTCCTTCCTCCTCCTCCTCGCTCCTCCTCCTCCTCCTCCTCCTCCTCCTCCTCCTCCTCCTCCTCCTCCATCCTCCCCTCCTCCCTCCCCCTCCTCCCCCTCCCCCTCCCCGTCCTCCTCCGCCTCCTTCTCCTGCCCTCCACCTCCTCTCCTTCTTCTCGCCCCCCCCCCTGCTGCTGCCGTCCTGCTGCCGCAGGTCCTCCGTCCCTCCGCCCTCCTCCGATCTCTCCTCCCTCGGCCTGGCTCCGTAGTGGTGCGCGGTGCCTCCATGTCGTACGGTCGGACCGAGATCTATGATCGAGGTCGGCTCGGGGAGGGTACCCTAAGGTTCTTCGTGTCGGATGGATTCGATGTTCATGGTCAGTTGCGCATACATGTGCAAACAGTTACACGGTGGGGGTGGGGGGGTGGGCATTTCTCAAAGTGGGGGTATTGCCGATCATTTCTTTGAACGGTATGACTATACATGTCTGCATCCCTGCTTGCGCGCTCGACGAATGGAAGGCAGCTCGTTATCTAAGCAGGGCTCTCGCCAGAATCGCAGGGCCACAGGGTGCTGGTCTCTCAACGGGGCGACCCTTGAAGCGAACGGGAGATTGTGCACGAACGAGGACAGACTTTCGGACGGGAAGGTGCACTGCAGCACCGCTAGTGCTTCTTGGATGTACTCTGGCCCTCCTTCTTCTCACACTCCTCTCTGATCGCCATCAGCCTCAGCCGCGCCACGTTATCACTTTCATCGTGATCATCAACGTCTTTCTCGACATCTCTACCTTTACTACTGCCACCATCGCCAGCATGGTTGTCATCATCGTCGTCGTCATCATCACCATCACCATCATATCATCATCATCAACATCATCATCACTATCAGCATCATCCTCATCATCATCATCATCATCATCATCACCGTCATCATCATCATCACCATCATCACCATCATCATCATCATCATCATCGCACTCCTCCTCTTCTCCTCTTGTCCCCCTCATTCGTCCTCGGCGGAAGGCCGGCGGAGGGCCGTCGGAAGTCCGCGGAAGTAAAACAAGGCCGCCCTTGCTGGCGAAAGCCGACGGACGTAAAAGATGAACCCGAAGAGATTGTACGTTTGGGGGGTTGAGGGTTTCTGGAGCCCGCCACGCGTGTTCTTTTTGGGTGTCGCGCGATGGGGGGGGCAATTAATGGAGGGGCAGCGATGGCTGCAGAATAGGGGCTCGCCAGGAGGCACTCCTGGACGCTGTGGAATGGCCGCGGCGCTCGCTTCATCCCCCAGAACCGCCGGATCTCAGAGATCTCCGATTGCGACGGCCTTACGGCCGGTGCCGCCGAGCCTGAAGGGGGTCGTCGACGACCCAGTAATCTGGGTACGGTCTGTTTTGAACCATCTTTAAGCATTTCCAGTGCATTGTGTTGGTATGTTTGGTTTTCCGTCCCAAATCCGCCTGGAGGGGGACCCGCCCGACCTGAGCGCAAGGTCGCCACGCCATCGCGCGCGAGACCCGCTGTGCTCACCGTCGCTCGCCGTGTGCTCGGCCGCTCGCGGCTTGGCCTGGCGCGCCGCGCTGCGCCAGCGGCTAGCGACGCTGGCCCGGCCGCCCGACTAGGGTTAATTCGTGCAGCAGCTCCAGGCTGAGCTGCTCTGTCTGCTCCCCCCTCCCCCCCCTCCTCCTCCTCCTCCCCCTCCTCCTCCTCCTCCTCCTCCTCCTCCTCCTCCTCCTCCTCCTCCTCCTCCTCCTCCCTGTCCCCTCCTCGCCCACAGGGCGCCTTCGCGCCTGCAATGAAGGAGGTGCGCTCGGGCCGCTCGCTCTCCCGCGCCCCGCCGCCGCCCCTGGCGCCCCCTGCCCCAGCACGCCCTCGGGCCGCGCGGCCCCTGGCGCGCGAGGGAGGAGGAGGAGGAGGAGGAGGATGAGGAGGAGGGCGGGAGGGAGCCCACGGCGCTCGGCTTCAGTCGGGCCCGTCCCTCTACAGGGGGAGTATTCGAGAATAGTCAAAAATAGTCTTTTGTGAGTATTTGTTATTCTTCGTCTGTTGTTACTTCTTCGTCCTTGTCTAGTCTTCGTCCATTTTGTTTAGTATTTTGTGCGTCTTTTTTCTTCTTCGTCCAAAATCCCCCTCTAGGGAGACACGCCCACGGCGCTCGGCGCCTGCCCCCCCCCCCGCTGGCGCTCGGTCGGGCCCGTCCCTCTGCAGTGGGGGGATCGTCAAAGGCAGCCGAAGGATAGTCCGGGGACGATTTGTTGGCCAAGCAATATCCAAAACAGAATCCACCAAGTAATCAAACATAGTCTATTCATATTCAAGACATGGTCAACACACATGTTTGAGCCAACAATCACAAGACATCAACCATCTAAACATAATCGGGGGACGATGTGTTTAGTATTGTTGCTTTGACGTGAGGCCCCTCCTTTTGTCTCCCCCCCTTTGTTAATCAAAGCTGTGCGCGGCCCGCTTAGCTTCGACCGGAAGAGGTGCGCTCTCGACCCGCGGATAAATAAAAAAGTTTCGTATTGTTGCGCATGATTGGAGCATTTTGATTCGTTTGCTTTCCATGTTTCGCCCCAAAACATGTTTGAGCCATTCAAAGACAAAACACGGAACTCCAAGCATAGTCTGGGGACGACGTGTTCGGTAATGTTGCGCAGGGTTGGAGCAATTTGTATTCCTTTGCTTTCCATGCGTCGCCCAAACGTCCGCGCGCCGGGCCTTCTGGCCCGCCTCGCCCGCGCCCTCCCTCGCCACCGCGTCGGGCGACCTGGCGCCCGTGCTGGCGCGGGCTGGGGTGGGGGGGGAGGCTTCCTCCTGCCCCTCCGCCTGAGGGCTCATGGCCTAAGGGTTCGCCGAAGACGGCCTCCCCCGAAGATGGCCTAAGGGTTCGCAGGGGGGGACATGGCCCGACCTAAAGCCCTGGCGCCCCGCTCGCGCCTCGGCCGCGCGCCCCGTGTGTCGCGGTGGCCCCTCGGCCGTGCCCTCCCGCCGTGCGCCGCGGGTGCTGCGCGCGGGCGCCACGTCTGAGGAGCCTGGTTTCCACCACCGCCACCATAAGTTTGAGGAGGGGGGAGGAGGAGGGAGGAGGAGGAGAAGGAGTAGGAGAGGGAGGAGGAGGAGGAGGAGGAGGAGGAGGAGGAGGAGGAGGAGGAGAAGGAGGAGGGGGAGGACGGCGAAGAGGAGGAGGAGGAGGACCCCCCCCCTCCAACTTATGGTGGTGGTGGTGGGAAACAGGCCCATCAACTTCGGCTGGAGTCGGGCAGGTCACTCTACAGGAGGAATATTTCAACTTGTTTTGTCTGTAGAAACAAAGAAGTCTTGAGCCGACTTTTTTTTGAAGATGTGTTTAGTTTTGTTGCACCTGCTTTGGGTGTTTTCGCTGATCCTCCTAAATCCGACTGTAGGAGGACATGCCCGACCTGACACCAGGGCTCATTTGGACGCATCCGGCTCGAGTCTGTCCGAGTTCCAGGGCTTCCGATGCCGATTCGATTCGGCCCCAGGTTCCCGGGTTTTGATTCGGGCGCCGACTTCTCTCTGGAGGCCTGCGAGCCCGCCGATTTCCGCCGATTCGGTTTCTCCCGACTCGGCTGCCGATACATCCGCCGATCCGACGCATTTCGGTCGCCTATGCGACTTATCGATTCGATTCTGTGCTCTCCTGGGGCGGGCTCGACGGCAAACGCTGGGGGCATTATGTCAGCATTCAAGGTCGACGTTGTTTTTCCTGCTTCTGGGCCAGTCTTTGTCCGTTATGAGACGCTCGTTGGCGCCGTTCTCGGTTCGGCTCCTCTTCTGTATTGTAGTTTGTTGATATGTTTTTTGGGTTGCAGTTTTTCTCTCGTTTTTGGTTGGCCGAAAGCCGAACAGCTCAGACAAAGCAGCAACAGTCCCAGGCTTCCTGGATGGGGTCCGAGCAGGTAGCTTCGGAAGATCGCGCCGCATCGTCGACCGCATCGGGAATGCGGCTCGATGTGGAGCCCCTTCTGCATCGTCTATTCCGACCCCACCCAGGAGTCCTTTACCAGCCTGGAACATATCCCTATCCCTATGCTGGGCATCTCCTCATCACGGTGCCAATCTTAGGGATTCCCCTACTTTTTGAGTGCGCATCCCTGAGATTGTCATCGCCTTTTGGCGTGTCAATCATAGGGATGGGGATAAGCTCGAGGCTGGTAAGTCCTCTAACAGCGCTCGCCGCTTTATAGGAAAATATGGGCAATCTGGTTATTTGTGTCTATTTATTTGTGTGTTCCAGTTCCCCTTCATTTTTGGTTGACACCGAGCGGAGGTGCGCCGCCGTGAAGGACGCGATCGGCCACAAGCAGACGGTGGAGTTCAGGCGCCGCGCCTCCGCCTAACGCGCGGCGCGGCGCGCTACAGTCGGGGCCCTGAAGAAGGAACCCTTTTCGTTGGGGAGGGGCTCCGCGTTCCTTAAGTGTTTCGCAGCTTGCCCCAGGTTTTCCTTATGTTTTCGATCGGAAATCGAAGTTTAACTCATGGAAAAATGGGGCCTCGTTCCTTATTTTTGGGTTCCTTAGGTCAAGGCCCCGACTGTAGCTAGGCACCCGCCGGCTCGCCCTGCGAGCCCCGGATGACACATCACATCTCCGCACGAAGGAAATGGGCACCTTGGCATCGCTCGGACGTGTGCATGTTTTTCTATCGGCGAGGACCATCGAGGACCATCCTGGACCCTCGAGCAAAAAAAAAGACACGCACGAAGCCGAACAATGCACGGGAAGTGGACGCCCGAGCGATGCCTGGAAATGGACACGGAAAGAATGGGTACAGTGCCCAACAGCGGATCCGGTTCGTTCTGAACAGGGCTCGCTGTCCACGCCGCCGCGGCCTCTGTCCACTCGAGGCAGAAGGCCGCCTGCCCCACAGCGGCCGCTGTTGGTTTTTGGGACAACATCTGTTGTTGGGCATTGTACCCCTTCTTTCCGTGCCCATTCCGGGCGTCCAAAATATCCCCCCCTTTCCCCCTGAGAGTTGATTCTCCCCGGCCAAGGCAGAGCTGGTCGTGCGAGAGGGGCGGCAAGGCCGAAGCTTTTTTATCGCGGGAGAGAAAGTTGCGGATCGAACTGGCGGTCTTCTCATGTCGAGTGGCAACCTCACCAAACACGTGTGGCGTGGCAATGTGTTTCTCAGCATTTCAGCTTTCGCAATGCACGAACGTGTGCGAGGGCTTTGGGGTTCTCACGACGACGACGACGATCTCCTCTTTCCTCGTCATACATCCCTCGTGCGACTTGCCGGGACAAGTCGTTCACTATCCCCCGAGACTCCGAACTTTCTTATCCCCCGGGTGTTATCCTCAGGGGCATAGGATTTCAGTAGGGCTCGTTTCGATTCCTCCGACTCGATTCGATTCGATCTCGATGGATTACGATCCCGAATCGATTCGGCTTCGGATTCCGATTCAGGGTCCGATGCCTCAACGCAGGCCTTCTATACCCTGCCAATGTCTGCCTATGCGACTCTTCCCGACTCGGCTGCCGACTTCCGTCGATCAGATTTATTTCGATCGCCGATGCGACTTGCCGATTCGATTCTGGGCTCTCCTGGGATACAGTCAAGCCGCTGTTGGGCTCAGGCGAGGCTCGGGTTTTCGGGCCGTTCCTGAGAGTTGCGTCGTGGAACTCGTTTGTGGCCCGGGCCCGCCGTGGTCAGAAAATTGCCCCGTCGTGCCTTGGTATGCGACGGTGGGGCGATGACTGTATCGTGGGCCTCCGAGCGGTGTGGCGACCACACCGTGTGGGGAGTCGGCGGGGATCTCGGGGGTCACCGCGCAGCCTCGGGGCTCGGATCGCTCTCCGAGGGCGCCTCGAGCGATGGGGGCCTCCGGGGTCCCAGAGCCGTGCCGTGACGGGCCGCGCGGTGAGGTCTTGGGGGATTCCGAGGTCACCGCGCGGGCCGTCGTCACACGGTTTTGGGAGCCCCGAGGAGGAGGAGCGGAGTTTGGCGGGCGTTTCCCCTTTCCCGCCCCCCCTTGCCCCTCTCTTTCTCGTGGCGCACGCGCTGCTTGCATTCTCGCTCTGTGGGCGCGCGTGTGCTGTCCGCTTGTCAGCGCGTGCGTCCAGGCGCAACGGCCATCCAGCCCGTGTCGGTCTAGTGTACACGCTTGTCGTTGAAAGTAGGTATTGTTGGACTCCCAGGTCCCAATCTACTTCAGGCGCCTTCCTACTTTAAGAATCGGCATGCTTTGGCTGTGTCTTGTTCTCCTCTGGGAGGGCCTGGACCCAATCCACTATATCCGCCTTCCTACTTCATGTCTCTACCTACTTCTTCCGGCCGACGTGTATGCCAATTCCAGCGCGGTCCCTCCGTCGTTGTCCTCGGCGACGTTGCAGTCGTCGGCGGCATCGCCATCGTCGCCGTCATCGTTTTCGTCGTTGGCGGCGGCGGTCGTCCGTCATCCGTCGTCCGTCTTCCGCTCGTCGTCGTCTTTGCCGCGGCGGGTAGATGGGGGAGCAGGAAAAGAAAAAGGCGGGGAGGAGCAAGAGGAGGAGGGAGGGAGGAAGACGAGGAGATTTGCAGACGTTTCCCGAGGTTTTCGGGAGCGGAGGAACGACGGGGAGCGGGATGAGCGAGGAGGAACGAGGCGAAGGGGAGGCTCGAGGAGGAGGCTCGAGGAGGAGGAGGAGCGGGAGGAGGAGGAGGGGGAAGAGAAGGAGGAGGGGGATCACGGCGTGTATGGCTGTCATAGACCCCTTTGGTGGGCCTCCTCGCCGCGAGCGGGCAGGGGCGGGCTTTTCTCCCTCGGGCAGGCGCCACCTTGACGCTCCGCGGGAGCGCGCCGCAGCGGGGCCCCGGGCGGCGCGCTGGGCCGAGAAGTGCGGCCTGCCTGCGGGTGCTCCGCAGGAGCTGGACGACTCGGCGGGCCCGGGGCCCCATATGGGAATCCCGGGGCCCCCCGCGCACGGGTCAGATCTAGAGGGCGATGTGCTGCAGCAGCCCGCGCAGCACAGTAGCCCCTCCCCCCCGGGCAGCGCTTGCACCGATCCTCGGCAGGCGGTGCCGGGCTGTCCCCCGGCACCCGCCCGCCGCCGCCTCGCCGCCGCCGGGGCCTCCAGTGCTGGGCCCTCGCCGCGTGCCCAGTTCTGGGCCCTCGCCGCGCGCGTGCCCGCCGCCGCCTCGCCGCCTCGTGCTCGTGCGCTGGCTCGCGGCTGCGTCGGCTCCGCGGGGGCTCGGCTGGTGCCGAGACTGAGATTTACGGCACCCCTCCGCGCATTGCCGTCCCGTGCAGTCTGCACGACCGGTCATCTGACGAAGCAGAGCCTCCCGGCCAGGCCAGCATCCCTTCCTCCCACCCACCCACGCCGAGGAATGCAGCCCCCGCAGTGGTGGAGAGGCAGCGTGCGGGAGCGGCCGGGTCGGCAGTCCGAGAGGCTCTGGAGAAGCCCGCTGCTGGCATTGTTTTTTTCTAATTCGGGGAACAAAAATGTGGCACAAACATAAAAACTCGGAGGTCCGCGCGGATTTGTCGGATCGGCGCTGGACCCCCCTCCCTGGAGCGCGGAGCGCGCCAGGGGCGGCGCCGGAGGGGCCGCCGGGGGGTCCCAGTGCCGATCCGAGAATTTCCGCGCGGACCTCCGAGTTGTTATGTTTATGCCACGTTTTGTTCCCCTATGAATGCACGACGGGCCCGCCGCTGGCGCGTTTTTTTTGTTTTGTTTGCGAAGGCGCTGTGTGTGGCTCGCGTGTGCGCCGCGATGCGCTGCGCCAGTGGCTCTCGCGGGCAGGACGCGTGCGGGGCGCGGGCGGGCGCGCGGGCGGTTCGCGGGCGGGTCGAGGGCGGGGACGGCGACGGCAGTAAAAACGGTCCTCACCGCGGGAGCCCACTCCAGGCACGCACCCCAGAATGGTGTAGTTTCGTTATGCCCCCTCGCTCCGACAACGCGGTGCACACGCGTTGGTCTGACAATAGCGAGTGTTGCAAGACTCCTCGCCTAGCAGAAATGTAGTGCGGGCCGCACGCTTGCGTCACCCTCGCGCGCATGTCGGAATCATGTCTACGCCATTGGAGGTCGAATCGTGTACCATTGAGCTCTTCAACAACAGAACGAAGTCACTGGCATCTCAATCAAGCCCGTCAGGTTGTTGCGCGTGGGCACTTGCTAAATCCATGCGGGGACAAGAAGTTGCCCGTCACCCTTGCTCGAGCGACGCAGAAAAGCAGAGTCGTCTGCGCCGACATGGGCGCGTGAGCTGCCCGCGTAAGGCCGCGCGTAAGCGCCCTCGTCTCCCAATGTGGCATGCCGCGCTGGCGGCCCACGTGAGCCACCGCGTAAGGGCACTATGGCATCTCGCGTAAGATCCGCTTTTGATCGTCGCCCATATGTCGGCAGCGAGCCCGGCGTGGAGATAAGGAGGGGCGGGCCTTCTCAGAAGGCTCGGAAGTCCCCCGACCTTCTGAGAAGCTGTCTGAGCTTCCCCCCAAGACACAGAAGGCTGCTCAGAAGGCGCGAGGGCTTCTGGGCAGTCCCGCCGCCTTCTGAGAAGGCCTTCTCCTTCTCACTTCCCCCCGGGCATGCTGCCGAATGTGGTTGTGGGGTCATAACTCGGGTCTCTCGCGGCCGTTCGGGACGATCCCTCGGCGAGGCGCAGCTGCTGGCAAGCATCCCGGGGCTGGGAAACCGCCGAGAACCGACGAAAACGCCATTAAAAAACCTCGAACCCGAAACTTCGTACTTCCACCCCCCCTCGCTCGCCGCCGAACGTGGGCCTCCGCGCACGGCGCAGGTTCGACGAGCTGCACGTGGATCTCACGTGGTCGCCCGCCCTCGACGCGCACGGGCCGACCGTGCTCACGAGGCGGCCGGCCCGCGGCAGCGCGCCGCGTTTTGCTGGTTGTGCGCCGGACGTGGGCGGTGCGCCGTCCGCCGTCCGTTGCCGCCGCCGCCGCCGCCGTGGTGGTGGTCGTGGTGGTGGTGGTGGTCGTCTGTGATCGTCGTCGGGGTTGCGTCCGTCATCGTCGTTGTCGTCCGTCGTCGGCCTTCCGTCTCCCGTCGTCAGCGTCGTCGTCGCCGCCGTCGTCGTCGTGGCCGTTGTCGTCGTCGTCTGTGATCGTTGTCGGGGTTGCGTCTGTCATCGTCGTCATCGTCGTCCGTCGTCCGTCGACGTCGTCGGTCCCCGTTGACCGTCGTCGTGGTCGTCGTTGTCGTCGTCGCCGTCGTCGCCCCCGCAGTGGTCCAGAGGAGGAGGGGGAGGAGGATGAGGTGATTGGAGGAACGAGGGTGGACCCTCGGCCTAGCCCTCCTCTTCCTCCTCCTCCTCCTCCTCCTCCTCCTCCTCCTCCTCCTCCTCTTCCCTGTCCTCCTCCCCCTCCTCCACCTCCTCCTCCTTCTCCTCCTTCTTCTTCTCGTCCTCCTCCTCCTCCTCCTTCCCTCGCCGTTTGCACCTGGGCCCCGACAAGTCGCCCAAGCGTATCAAGACCGAGGTCACCCTGCGCAAGGCCAGGGCGATCGTCGAGCTACAGTACCCTGGCAAGCGATTTTACTCCGACCGCGAGCATGGCGTCCTCTCCATCGGCTGGGACAAGATCATGCACGTCAATGTCTTCCACGGCGACACCCCACCCAAGATTTACTGGGACTCCGCGCAGCTCGCCAAGCACGCCATGGCTATCGACACACTTCGCAATGCGGTCAAGGAACTCACGCACCCGTCCGACCCCAGCCAGTGGTGTCTTTAGCGCTGCTGGACTATTTCATCTCCCTCCCCCGCCGCCTGGGTCAGCGGCGTCTACGTTTCGGATTGCTACTTGGAATTCTCGGGCACTTCTTCAGGCTGGCGGGGACAAGGCCATTCTGAAGAGAAAGTATGTTCTCAGTCTTCGTCCCCTCTCCACGGTCATCGCGCTGCAGGAGGTGCACCAGGACCACTTCCAGCTCGTCTCGTTCTTCAGATCGATCGCGTCAGGCCTCACGATCCACTCCAGCTTCATTTCCGACGCAGATGACGGGCATCGGCGGGGTGGAGTTGCTGTGGTGCTTCCGCCGTTGGCTTGTCAGGGGTTCCCCGCACCGTCGACATCCTCCACTGTCTTGGTACCTGGCCGAGCGATGCTAGTCCGTGTTCGGGATGACTGCCGCACGCTCGACATCTTCAACGTTCACAATCATGGCCTGTCCGCCCAGCAAGTTCGCGGAGTGGCTGCCGCGATACGAGTATCGCAACGTTCGGCTGCTCTCGACCCCGACATGTACACCACCTTTGTCCTCGGGGACTTCAATTTTGCCACGCACGAGGCTCTTGCGCTCGCTGCCCCTGCGGCGGCCGTGCGCAAGCAGTCGAAGTGCCACCACGTGCAGGCGACCAAGTGGCGCCAGGCTCTCGCCCTCCTGACCGAGATTGCGTGCGAGGACCCCACACACTACGAGAAGTTCAACAACTCGTGCGCGACGATCGACCGCGTCTTCTGCTCGATCACGGGCTGGCAGCTCTGCCAGTTGTATGTCCAGATTGGCACGCTTGGCACGCCGGCGGCTGTCTTCGACAAAAAGATCTCTGACCATGCTGCTGTTGTTCTCTCGCTTGCCTGCCGCCCGCCTCGACCTGTGGAGTCTCGCCCCATTCCCAAACACCTGTTCTCGGAGCCTGGTTTCAAGAGGCGCCTGGAGGGGCTGTGCTCCTGCATCCCGTGGGACTCCATGTCGCCCCCGTTCAAGGTTGAAAAGTACAAGGAGCTTTTGAAGATTTCGGCCGCGGAGACCAGGGACACCCTCTTTCGGGACAGGCCGCATCACCCGCACACCTGCCTGATGCTCGCTCGTGCTCTGGCCCGTGCTGTATGGAGGCAAGACCTGCGTATGGCCTCCAGGCTCCAGGACTCCCACCCCCTGGCCATTGACATGATTTCGATTACCGACGGGAAGGTCGAACTCCGCCACCCGCCGTCCTTCCAGGCATGGGTCGACCAGGTCCAGACTGAGGCTGCCGAGTCCGCGAAGGCAGAACTTGAAGATCGCAGACGGCGTGAAGGTGACCGCGTCCAGATTCGTGCCCAGGTTCGCGCGCTTGAACGGCGTGCTCGTCTCTGGTCCCCTCTCAATCGCAGGATCTCGCTCTCAGCGGTTATCGCGCCAGATGGCTCTGCGGTCAGCGTTCCCTCTGACCGCCTGCGGGTGCTCTCGGAGCACTGGGCCCCCGTCTTCCAGAAAAAGCCGTGGGACGGTGCTGCTGCTGCCCCCTACCTTCGCCGCCTTGCCCCTGACCTTCCTGCCGACCTACACCTTCCCCCGCCGTCGAAAAATATGCTACGTCGAGCAATACGGTCTGCCCGACACTCCGCTCCTGGGCCTGATGCTCTCCCGTATGCTGCGTGGGCGGCGTCCTCGTGGGGGGCTGACATATTATGGGACGCCCTTGGTTGGGTGCTCAGTGGCCAAGAACTCTTTGCGAATACTAGTGACACGATCCAGATTTTTCTGCCCAAAAACGTCACAGACTTGGAGCTCCGCGATGCCAGCTGTTCCCGCTCCCCCGACAAGGTTCGAGTCTTGGGCCTCAGGAACTGTGACCTGAAGCTCATCTCCTCCACCGTCAATCGGGCGATCCGCCCTGCCCTGGTATCCCTCGCCCCGCCGTGCCAGCGTGGATTCATACCCGGTAGGAATTTCGGCAACAACATCCTCGAGCTCGACGTTTCGAGTCGTCAGATGTCGGTCGTACCTCACGGGTCTACTGATATTCCTGTGCTGTATTCCTTGGACTTCGGCCAGGCCTTCCCGTCTCTGAATCAGGACTTCCTCATTCTCTCCCTTAGGGCCCTCAAGCTGCCCGAAGCCTTCGTGTCCTTCGTCACGTTCCTCTATGCATCGGTGGAGGGGGTTGTCTCGCACCTAGGCTCGCTAGTGCACATCTTCTGGATCCAGAGCGGCATCATCCAGGGTTGTGCCTTATCGGGCACTCTCTATGCGCTGAGTACGGCTGTCTTCTTGGTCGACCTGGCCTCTCGGGTGGAGGCCGCTGGCCTTGGCCTGGTTCGGGCCTGTGCTGACGACATTGGGGGCACGTTATTGGCCATACGGCACCTAGTACATGTGTATCGGGTTATGCAGATGGCCTCGGACATGGCCAACCTCGCCCTGAAGGTCTCGAAATGCAAGATTGTCCCGCTGTCTGACAGGTTCTCGCCCGACCTCTCAGCCACAGTCTCCTTCTGGGTCTCCCATCTGGTCCCCGAGTGGAGCTCGTTCGAGGTGGCTCCGAAGTTGCTCTACCTGGGCCTCTGGCTGGGGCCTGCTGTCGTTCCGTCCACCTGTTGGATTGACCCCGTCGCCAAATTGCGTCTCAGGGCCCAAGCCATTGGGCGGGGAACCACTCCTGCCAGCCTTTCCGCTACACTGTACAATACTCGTGCCGTTACGACCATATCTTACGTTGCCCAATTCTGCTGGCCGCCATCGGCAGTGCTGCAGCCTGAGTTGGCGACGCTCGCGCAGGTGTTCCGCATCCCGCTCGGCACTTTCGCCCTCGACTTCTGGACGCAGATCGCGCAGTGGGGCGGCCCGCGCTGCACGCGGTGGGGGCACCTGGCCGTCGCCACCATCACTCGTGCTGCTCTGCACACTTTCCCAGGCTGGGAGAGGCTCCTCCAGCAGTTGCGGAACCACGCGCGCTCCGCCCCGCACGATGCCACCCTGTCCATGCTGGCGACTGGCAAGCCGTACCCGTCCTTCTGGTTGGCCCCCGCCTTTGTGGAGAATCTGGCGCTGGCCGCCGCTGGCACCCCTCCCCCTGGCCCGCTGGCCGTCTTTGGTGCTCGTGCTGCCGACGCTGCGCTGGCTGAACTTCGAGAGAGCGGCCGACCTCGTCCTCGACCTCAGAGAGCTGCTCACGAAGCGCTTCGGGCCTATGCGATGCTGAACAAGCCCATCACCGACCTCTTCGCGCTCCGCCTGAGGAAGTTCGCAGGCAGATCGGCGGGCCTCCTTTCGAACATCGACTGGGGCGAGTGCAAGAGCGTCCTCGCCCGCTGCCCGTGCTCATGGGCTATGGCCGTCCTGCGCACTTGGTCTGATGGTTGGATGACTTCGGCCCGTATCATCTCACCTGACGGCCAGAAGCACTGCGCATTTGGCTGTCTAGGCAAGCTCGACTCGTTGCGGCACTACGCGAGATGTCCTGTCATGCACGGTGCCCTTCGGCAGGCTCTCGCGAGACCGATTCCGCTCCCGTGGATGGCCAGATGGGGCTTATCTGAACCTTCGCTGGCCACCTTCTCGGCGCTGGCTGCCGCGTACAGCATGTGCAACGAAGCGAGGCTGGCGCCCGTGTGGCCGCTGTCCCCGTCCCTCCTCCGCAGCTGTGCTCTCGCTGGTGTACGTTCGATGCAGCTCGCGTCGCCGCTGAAGTGCTCGGACATCGGCCGCGAGCAGCTCGGCCGACGGGACTACCTCATTCGCAGCTCTTCGTCATCTTCATCCTCGGGGTCGTCTCCACGGCTCACGCCTGCCGTTTCGTCGTCGGACAGCGACACGGCCACCGTCTCCACAGCCATCGCCACGATCCCGTCGGACCCCGACGCTGCTGATGATGTACAGGTCCCCGCGACGGGTTCAGTTACGTGCTGTCCTTCGGCTTCGGCGACCTCCCCCCCGCCTTCCTCTGCGCCCCCGACGACGGCGCGCTCCCCATCAACTCTGAGGGCGGCCCCATCACCATCAATGCCGTTGAGAACTCCACTGATGGCGCCCGCCTGCTCATCAATTTCGCCGCCGGCCCCGATTTCGCCCTGCTCATGTGTGTCGCCGTCTCCGCCAGTGACGCTGTCGTCTGCGGGTTCTTATGCCTCGTCGCCTCCCATCGGCGTTAGATCGCAAGTCCCGTTGTCGTGTTCGGGCTCACTGTCGCCAAGTGCTGGATGCCTCGTGTCGCCCCAGCTGGGCCCAGGCGTTAGATCGCAAGTCCCGTTGTCGTGTTCGGGCTACACGTCGCCACATGCAGGATGCCTCGAGGGGGACCACCTCTCCTGTGGCGTTAGAATGCAAGTCCCGTTGTCGTGTTCGGGCTCGCCGTCGCCACAAGAATGTTGCCGTGATTCTGGACACTGGTCCGTCGGCGTTAGATCGCAAGTCCCGTTGTCGTGTTCGGGCTCGCAGTCGCCACGTGTCGGACGAAATCCTGGGAATCTGGAGGCTCCGCGACGCTCGACGCAACCATCGACCCCGTCATCAGAGCGCTCCGCGACGCCGATGTCCACGAGCCCTCCGATGTCGCGCTCCCCTTCGGTGTCGCCGACGGCTGGGATGTCGCCCCAATCTTTGCCTTCTGAGAGTGCGGCCGAAAATGAGCCGCCTGTATCTTCTCTCCCCCGCACGTCCGTCGCCCCGCACGCCCCGCTCTGCCCTCCCACGCTCTGCGCCACGCCTGCCATCCCGCCCGATCCGCCTCCCTCGTCCCTTGAGCCCTCATTGCTGCTGCCCTCTGCCGTCTCCCCTTGCTCCCCTCCCTCGATGATCGCCATGCCGCCGTCGGTTTCCCCGTTCCCCGCCTCGTCCGTCGCTCCGTTGAGCTCTGCTCTTGCTGCTGCGTGCTCCTCCCCTGCTTCTCCCCTCGCGGCGCTTCACCAGCATCTGATTTCCCCCGCATCTGACCATCATTTTGGCGCGGCCTCCATGCCGCCTTTGATTGAAACAGCGGCCCGCGTCGCCGCCCGAACGTGCCCGACGTCGACCGCGACCCGTGCGGCTTCGTCACCAGGCGCCGCCGCGCTTTCTCCTTAGAGTGGAGCTGAACCCCCCCTGTACGCTGGGCTCCTCCTCCTTCCCTCCAGTTTCCCTGGGCAGCTCACAGTCGTTCTCCGGCAAAGGATGGTCACCCGCGGGGCCCTTCACCTGGAGGGCCTGCTCAGGCAGGCGCTCAACCAGGTTCGCTGCTGCCGAAAGGTGTCCTCCTCCTCCTCCCCTCCTCCTCCTCCTCCTCCCTCCTCCTCCTCCCTCCTCCTCCTCTCCTCCTCCTCCTCCTCCTCCTCCTCCTCCTCCTCCTCCTCCTCCTCCTCCTCCTCTGAGCCTGTTGGGGAGGCCCTCGCCGCCAGGGCCGGACCTGCCTCACCCTCCCCCCCCTCCCCCCCCAATGCGAGGTCGCTGCGTCACCTCGCGTGAGGGGCCCGCCTTTGGGTCGTCGCTCCAAGGAGGAGGACGCAGGGGATGCGTGCCGCAGGCAGCTTTCTAGCTTCGCCCTCGCGCTCCCTCCTCCCTTTTCCCTCCTCCTCCTCCTCCTCCTCCTCCTCCTCCTCCTCCCTCCTCCTCCTCCTCCTCCTCCTCCTCCTCCTCCTTCCTCCTCCTCCTCCTCCTCCTCCTCCATCATCCTCCTCCTCCTCCTCCTCCTCCTCTTCTCCTCCTCGTCCTCCTCCTCCTCCTCCTTCTCCTCCTCCTCCCTCCTCCTCCTCCTCCTCCTCCTCCTCCTCCTCCTCCTCCTCCTCCTCCTTCTCCTCCCTCGCCCTCGAGGCGCGAGCCTGCGGCCAGGCGCGCTCGGGTGGACGTGTCTGCACCCCCCGTGCCCGGCCCGCCCCGCGCGGGGGGCGCGCGTCGCCTCGGAGGACCGCTGCGGCGCTCTCGAGGCAGTTTTTCCTCGTGACGGCCCTGTTCCGTTCGGCTCCTTCCTGGGTGGGTTTACTTCAGAGCGTGAATTACCTACCCCGCTTTCGCTTCCAGGCAAAACCAAGTCATACTACGCGCCTCCTCTTCAGGCGCCCTGACCAGTACAGGCCGTAGTTTGGCATCGCTTGGTATATTTTGAGGCGAGGGTGGTCAAGAGCGAGGTAGGTTTGTTTGCCCCCAATGACTGAGAGCTCCGCTTGTAGTGGTTTCGGGCGGCTCCTTGGCCCCCAGGGGTCTTTGGGGGGGGGCCGCCCTGGGCTCTCTCTGTGAGCCTCTGGGAGCCTCTCTTGGGGTTAGCTCGGGAGCCCTCGGGGCCTGTCGGCGCTGGGGAATGGGCGCTGCTGGGGACGAAGCCACGGCCAGGGCTGGGGATTTTGGGGTCAGGGCTAGGGAGGGGCTGGGGAGGGCCAGGGGGAGGGCGAGGAAGAACGATCACACACGAGCGAACAGAAAGGACTCCGAGCTCTAGAACACAGGTGCGCAAGATCATAAGCTCCTTCTCCTCCCCCTCCTCCTCCTCCTCCTCCTCCTCCTCCTCCTCCTCCTCCTCCTCCTCCTCCTCTTCCCCCTATCCTCCCCTTCCCCTCTTCACCGCACTCGCCGCCCGAAAACCTGGAGAGACCTCGGGAACTCCGAAGACATCCAGAATCCCCCGAAAACATCCCAGCACCTCTTCCGCAAACTGCGTTCACGACCGGTCCCCAGGCCTGGGCCATCGCGGGGTCCGTGTTGGCCAGCTTTGCATCCCAGCCAGATAGTTTTCTGGGTCCGAAAGTGGACGGAGGCCGAAACTGCCGTCGACGACGACGACGATGCCGACAGCGGCGGCGGCGACGACGACGGCGACGGCGAAGACGACGACGAGGGAAGTGCAAGAGAGGGGGAAAAGAATGAGGTGAAGGACGACGCCGACTACGACGATGATGACGACCCCCCGAACTCTCGGGGTGCGTTCTTGTCAGAATTCCGAGACGGATCCAGCCGTGGTCGTGTGGGTGCCCCCCCAGGCGGCGGCGGTGGCGGTCACAGTCGACGACGATCGAATATCGACGACGACGTCGGCGACGACGGCGACGTCGCCGACAGGATCGGGCGACGATCAACGACGACCGAGTGCGACGGACGGCGGCCGCAACGACTACGACAGCGATGTTCTGCCATGAGAGAGGGGGGGCCCTCCAGACCCAGAGGGATCGTGCGCAGGACCCCGGGGGCCCGGCAACGGCGAAGGGCTTCGAGGACCCCTCGTCCCCCAGGACACAGCAGCGACGAGCGACGACCGCTGCGACGGCGACGTCGCCGGCGGCATCGACGCGACGACCGAGGAGCGAGGAGCGACGATCGACGGCGGCCGTACGGCGGCGCCGTCGACGACGAGAGGCGGCGGCGGCGGCGACGACGACGACGACGGAGGCGACCAACCATCGGCGATCGATGATCGACGGCGCCCGGCGGCGGCGCCGTCGACGACGAGTGGCGGCGGCGCGGGCGGCGGCGCTCGGCCCGGCCGCGGGGCGCGCCGAAGGTGGCTGCAGCAGCGCCTGGCGGAGCTGCCGCCCGCGGCGCGGCGGCGGGCGGCTCGGACGCCCCCTTCGGGCAGCAGCGGGGCAGCGCGCGCGGGCGGCGCAGGCCACCGACCTCGCGAGGCCCCGCTCGCGGAGACCGCCGCCTCCGCCTCCTCCGCCTCCTCCTCCTCCTCCTCCTCCTCCTCCTCCTCCTCCCCCTCCTCCTCCTCCTCCTCCTCCTCCTCCTCCTCCTCCTCCTCCCCCTCCTCCTCCTCCTCCTCCTCCTCCTCCTCCTCCTCCTCCACCTCCCCCTCTCCTCCTCCTTCCTCCCTCCTCCTCCACCTCCTCCCCTCCTCCCCTCCTCCTTCCTCCTCCTCCTCCTCCTCCCCCTCCTCCCCCTCCTCCTCCTCCCCTCTCCTCCCTCCTCCTCCTCCTCCTCCTCCTCCTCCTCCTCCTCCTCCTCCTCCTCCTCCTCCTCCTCATCCTCCTCCTCCTCCTCCTCCTCCTCCTCCTCCTCCTCCTCCTCCGCCTCCCCCCCCCTCCTCATCCTCCTCACCCTCCTCACCCTCCTCCTCCTCCGCCTCATCCTCCTCCGCCTCCTCCTCCTCCTCCTCCTCCTCCCCCGCCGCCCTCCAGCAGCGCAGCTCCTGCCAATGTCCAGCTTGAGGAGAGCCTGCCGCCGCGCCGTGGGTTCCGCCGCGCGGCCTGGCGCCTCGGGGAGGGCGCTGCGGCCAGCAGGGCAGCCTCCGCCTCGGGCGCAGAGATTGCCGCGGGGTTTGCCTCGGTGTTGGCTTCGTCTGCTCGGGTTTGCCGTGGGTTCACCACGGGTTGCAGTGGGTTTGCCGATGCCGCCTGGGGCACGGGACGCAGGGCTTGCTGTGGGTGTGCCGTGGTGTGGGCGTCGTCCATCCACAGAGATCGTCGATGATCGGGCCGAAGGAAAGGGGGGGTAGGGAAAGGGGGGGCTACGAAATCTGCTGTATGCAGCTGGTTTCGGCCCCGCCGCCGGGCCCATTCCTCGATGCATCGGCGCCTCCGGGCGCCGGGAGGCGCTGGGAAAATCAGCTACGTGAGCTGATTCGCTGCCCTGCCCTCTGCTTATCCCCCCCTTTCGCCCCCCCCCCCCCCGAGATGAGCAAAAACAGCGCGGCGGCGTACACGTGGTGAGGAGGTCCCGGGCGAAGCGCCGGGGCCCTCCCTGCCAGTACGCCTTGGGGGTGCGACAGGGCCTAGCCACTCCTCAGGAAGAGGGACGGAGGAGGATGGGAGGGAGGATTCAGGAGGGGAACAAAAACACGCAGACAGAATGAACCGTCGACCCCCAGGAACATATGGGAAGTAGGGGTGAGGACGAAAACCCATAACATACAGGAACAGATGGTGAATCCCGGGATGTATGCGTATTTCTGTGTGTGTGTGTCTTTGGGCCCCCTGAAGGATGGGGGGGGAAGTGATGGCGGAGGAGGGGGAGGAGTAACTGGGGAGGAAGTCGGGCCGTCCCCCTGCAGGAGGAATAGGTCGAAAAAGAGTCAACACATCAAACGGGGACGTTTTTGGTTTACGGTTTGTTCAGCATTGGGCATGGTTAGGGTATTCTTCATCGTTCGTCCAGAATCCCCCTCTAGGGGGGCATGCCCGACCTAAGAGGAGCTGGTGCTTTACTCTCTCCCCTGCGCCCCCCTCCCGCCGAGCGTGGCGCCGAGGTGCCTGCTGCTCCTGCTGGACCTCGTGAAGGACACGGAGGCGTGCCACAGCCGCAGCAAGGGCGCCGTGGCCAGCCGCCTCAAAGGCCACGGGGCACACAGTGCCTGAAGTCGGGCCGGTCCCTCGACAGGGGGAGTATGCAATCGGCGGTGGATAGACCTCCTACCCTGACACGTCGATTAGCGAACTGGCCGTTTTCGGTTCGCGAGAGGGCGTCGCGGCCGTTATTTTTGCGGGTCTAGGTCCGTCGGTTTCGGCCCTAGGCCGTTTTCACTAAAGGGAGGTTTACTAAAGGGAGGTTTGTCCACCGCCGATTCAAAAATAGTATTAAAAATAAGATGGGGACGATCGGTTGACCATTGTTTGAATATGTTTGGGGTATGTTTTGGGGTATTATTTTTTTATTGTGCGTCCAAAATCCACCTGCAGGGGGACCCGCCCGACCCAAACAGAGCCCCGCCTCTTTCCGACGATCTGTTTTTCGTTTTTTTGTTAAACCGGCGCGACGATGATGATGATGTTGTTGTTGTTGATGATGATGATGATGATGATGATGGTGATGATGATGATGATGATGATTACGATGTGGATTACGATGATGATGATGATGATGATGATGATGATGATGATGATGATGATGATGATGATGGCGACGATTAGTTTGATGATGGTGATGGTGATTATGATGATGGTGATGACGGCGGTGATGATGATGAGGACGACGATGATGATCATTATGATGAGGATGAGGATGGTGGTGATGGTGATGGTGACGATGATGATGGTGGTGGTGGTGGTCATGTTTGTGGTGATGATGCTGATCACCATCATTATCATCATATCATCATCATTACCAGCAGCATGATCATCAGCAACATCACTATCATTGTCATTAGCATCAGCATCATCATCATCGTCACCATCATCATCATCATCATCATCATCAGCATCATCATTTCCAGTATCGTCATCAACAGCATCATCATAATGTTCATGGATGTTGTTTCTCTGCTGGCCGCTTTCGGCTCAAGAACCATCAACCATGGATCCCGGACGAAAAAGGACGATCTCCCCCTGGAAGCGGTCGGGACCTCTGGGGTCGTGGAAGTTTAAAAACATGTAGGGGAATGGCAGGGTTTCCGACGATCTGCTGTTTTCAACTTTCGCACAGAAGTTCTCGGATGTTTTTGTTGGCTCCTCGAGCGATCTTATCGCCCTGGGTTGCTTCGCAGCAGTCACGGCTGGCCGAGAGCGGGGGGGGGGGGGGGGGCGAATCGTCCCGAACGACCGCCAGAGGCCCGAGTCACAGCCCGAAAGCATAGATCGCCGACGATGTTTGTGCTGTTCAATCTGCCGGAGGGCAAAAAATCGTCGACGCAAATAACCGGCGATCCCGAGGAACATCATAACAAATTGGAACTGGAGAGGAAGACGAACGTCCAGGACAGATGGAACATTTGGGGAACCCTGGCCTCAGTGTCTGTCTACTTGTGTGTGTGTCCCTGGACCCCTTCAAATCTAGGCGTCATTCCTCGATGTCGGCCCCCCGGGGCCTGGTGTCGGGCCGGGGATCACAAAAACAGATCCGGGACGAAAACGTACCCCCTGGGAAGCGATCGACATTTCATTTCCCCGGACACGTTCGCGTCCCAAAACATCACGACGGACGGGAGGTTGTCGGCCACTTTCGGCCTCCGGGGGCCCTCGCCAGGCCCCGGGACCGTCAGAAGATGGCCCAGAGTGAAAACCGGTCTCAGGGGAAAGGGTCGAGCATCCCAAGGACCGCGTACTGAAAGCACCAGGATGCCGCATGTCTGGGTCTGGGGCCGCGTCTGGAAGAAGTCATATCGTCGGATGGCTGGGAGGGCCTCCTTGTCGTTGTCGAAGAAGGAAGATCAAGCAGTGGCGAAGCGTCCCGGCTTGCCTGTAGGCCCACCAAAGAATGTTGTAAGAATTTGTTTTGTGATCTGCACGAACTGTTCTTGGAACATTTCTGGCCGATCTTGGTTTGTATAACACATCGGGTTTATGTTTTAAGAGAACGGTGTTTGCTCCTAGAGCATTTTCGGGTTCGACGGACACTATGTGGTAGGCCAGGCCAATCGGACTGCCGGGACGGTCGGTCAGAAGAGAAGGGACGAGGATCGAGGTTCGAGATTTTCAAGATTTCGGGATGCGTTTCACATCTTCTGTTCCGTGGCCCACCACCTCAGCGGCCAGGGGGGCTTCTCCTCGTCGACGTCACCGTGGAGAAAGAGGAGGAGCAGGAGGAGGAGGAGGAGGAGGAGGAGGAGGAGGAGTGTAAGGAGGAGGCGGAGGAGGAGAAGGAGGAGGAGGAGGAAGAGGACGAGGGACCGATGTTCAAGAGAGGGGGGGCTTTGGGATGTATTTCTGCCTTCCTACACCATCCCCCACTGCCTTTGCCGCCAGGAGGGATTCTCGTCGTCGCCGTCGTCGACGAGGAAGATGAGGAGGAGCAGGAGGAGAAGGAGAAGGAGGAGGAGGAACGAGGAGGACCGACGCTCGAGAGGTGGGGCTCTGGGATGCCTTTCGCCCTCCCCGGCGCCTCCCATGGGTCAGGGAAACGTAAGACTCGAGTTCGCCAGAACTTTGGTCTGCCGACGCCTCTTGACGATCCCGTCCCGGGCTGTGACGGTTCAAATCCGTGGGATCTCCTGGCTGTTGCGGGGGCTCTCGCCAGACTTCAGATTGGGCCTAGTCACTTTCTTGACGGCCCCGCCAGGCCAACCCGGGTCCCTCGAACCCGAGACCTGCGACCAGGACGCCCGCACAAGGACGTTTCCCAAGGGCTCGGGAGGGGCTCTGGCGTTCTTCCCGCTCCCTGGAAGCCAGGCCGCGGAACCCTATAACTCGTAGCCGAGGCTCGCCGTGGCCAGGCGAGAGGGGGCCACACGCGAACCCTGCCCCTGCCCCCCACGATTTCTGAGGGGGAGGGTGGGGTTCGCTTCGTGCGGCAGCTCCTGAGCGAAGTGAACCCCACCCTCACCCCCAGAAGACTCGTGGAGGGCAGGGGGAGGCTTCGCATGTGGTCCCCCAGGAATTACGCACCTGCCCACAGACGTCACGCACACGAAGACACGGAAAGGAGCGCAACACGCGAGCGCACGCGCAGACGTACCGCGCCTCCCACGCGCCAGCGGGTGGCAGGCGGCGGCGAGGCTTCGCGTCTGGCTCCCCAAGGCGAGCCCCTCCGCTCCCCGCGGCTCCCGCGGGCGCCTCCCCGAGAGGGAGGCTCCCCGCCCTGCCCGGGGCCGGGGCCCTCCTCGAGAGACCCTGGCCCGAGCGAAGGGAACCCCACCCTCCCCCTCAGAAGTCGTGGGGGGTAGGGGTAGGGCTCCCGTCTGGCTCCCCGAAGGCGCGCCCCTCCGCTCTCCGCGGCTCCCGCGGGCGCCTCCCCGAGAGGGAGGCGCCCCCGCCCTGCCCGGGGCCGGGGCCCTCGATCGAGGCCCTGGCCCGAGCGCGCCCCTTCGGGGCGGGCCCGGAGGGGTCGAGCCTGAGCACCCCCTGGGCTCGAGCCTCGGGCCGCTCGTCGAGCCGCAGGAGGCGCTCGGCATCGCTCGGACGTGTGCAGTTCTCTAGGGGAACAAAAAGTGGCACAAGCATAACAACTCGGAGGTCCGCGCGGATTTCTCGGATCGGCGCTGGGGCCCCCTCCCTGGCGCGCGGAGCGCGCCAGGGGCGGCGCCGCACCTCCGAGTGTGTTTTGTTATGCTTATGCCACTTCTTGTTCCCCCAATGTTTTTCCTCTGCGAGGATCATCGAGGACCATCCTGGACCATCGAGCAACAAACACACACACACACACACGAAGCCGACAGGTGCACGGGAAACATGGGCGTCCGAGCGATGGCAGGCAGGCGGGGCTCCACGCCGCGCGGACCCGCGGGGGACCTGCCGCCGCGGGCGGCGCACGCGTCGGGCGCCCGCAGCCCGTCGGCGCCGCGGGTGGCGCCCCGGGGGCCCGGCGCCGGCGGGAGGCGGAGGAGGAGGCGGAGGAGGAGCAGAAGGAGAAGCAATTGGGAGCAGCATGGGGAGGAAGAGGAGGACCCAGACCCCCTCGAGGAATGAAAAAATCATGACGGGAGGTTTTTCCCCATTCTCGGCCTCTCGGGGCCCTCGCCGGGCCTCGGGAGCGTCAAAAAACGACTCAGGATGACAAAGCGGTCCTGGGGAAGGGGTCGAGAACTCTGGGGTCGACGTAATGAAAAAAACATTACGTCGGGGGTCTGGGGAGGAGGACTAGGACGAGGAGGAGGAGGAGGAAGAGGACAAGGAGGTCTCGGGAGCCTCGAGGCCCTGCGCCTTCTGCGTCGGCCCGGCGGGAGAAGTGGTCGAGAGGTCGGGGATTTGGTGGGCCTCGCGCACGAGAGGGGGTCGATTAGCGCGACGACGACAATGAGAGCGACGACAACGGCGACGACGACGACGACGACGACAGAGGACGACGACGACGACGACGTCGACGACGACGGCGGAGGACGACGACGACGACGACGACGACGACGACGACGGCGACGGCGAAGGACGACGACGACGACGACGGCGAGGGCCAGTGCGAGGGCGAGGGCGAGGGCAAAGGTGACGAAGACGACGGAACAAGCACGGCGAGGACGACTGGCCGTGGCGTCACGGCTTGCCTATGGGCCCACCAAAGAATGTTCTGGGAGCCCCGTGTGGTTTGATGGAGACGTTCTCCAAACATCTCTGGCCGAGGCCGTTCTGCTTTGACACATCGGCGTTATGTTGAAGAACATGTTTTTGCTTAGAGCGTTCTTGTGTTCTAAAAACATGTTTTTGCTTACTCCAGATTTCGCAATAAAAGGGAAGGGGTCTGGACCCTCCAAGACAAGCCATTTCAGACCTCCCCCGTGGGAGAACCCTCCAAAACATCGTCCCCAGACCCCCCAGGCCCTCCAAGATAGCCTGGAAGAGACCCCCCCCGAAATGAGACCCCCCTCCCTTTATTACGAAATCTGGAGTAGGCCTACAAGAATGCCGGGACTGTCGGTCCCTGCTCAGGAAACGCGTCCTGATGGACATCGGGGCCCTCCACGGGACCCAGGACTGCCAGAAAACGACTCGAGATGAAGTCCTGGGTGGGGCAAAACCTTGGGGTCCATGTCTTGTTTCCTTCAGGACCCGTCAGCCCCATACCAAGGCGGGGGGGGAGTGGGCAGGCATGAGCGGGGTGGCGACGGGGGGGGGAGGTGATGGATAGGCAACGGAAGGAAGAGAGGGGTAGGAGGAACAGCAGCAGCAGCAGGAGGAGGAGGAGGAGGAGGAGGAGGAGTAAGACATACAGGAGAGGGCGGAGGGGCGGGAGAGGAAGGGAGGGAGGGGGAGGAGCAGGAAGCAGGAAGCGAAGCAGCACGAGGAGGCAGAGCAGCACCTGCCAGGCGTTCACTGGCTGCTGCTGGGCATGGCCTGGTGAGACTCTCAGCGCGCCGCCGGGCTGCCGGTCGCTGCCGGGGGGGAGCGCCGAGGACGTGCGGGGCGTGAGCGGGACAGGGCAGGCACGAGCGCAGCAGCACGGCCGCGTGTGTGCGCACGGGCGTGCGCTGTGCTGTCCTCTGACTTTGGGGGATCGTAAGGCTCGAGTAGGCCGGAACTCGGGTTCGCCGACTTTTTTTTTTGACGAGCGCGTCCAGAGTTTTGAGGGTCCCGTTTTCGTAGGAGGTCTGCAGCGGGAGCCCGCGTCAATTTCAGACTGGGTCTCGTCATTTTCATGGTGGCCCCCGTCAGGCCAAACCGAATCCCCCGTAATCCGATAGCCCTTATAACGGCGACGATGGAACACAGTGCCGGGGAACTGCTTTGAACATCACCAGTCGTTCAAAGCAGTGCCCCGGCACTGCTTTGAACGATGCGGAAATGCGATCAGCAGGAGCCTTCGTCTGTTCCTTCTCCTCTTCTCGTCGCTGTATGCTCTTCCTTGTCCTCCCTCCTCCCCCGTTCCCTCTCTAATTAATTACCTCGTTCTCCCAGTCTCACGCGCACTCTTCCTCCCCCCTCTCCTCCTCCTCTTCCTGCTTCTCCTCCTCGTCCTCCTCCTCCTCCGCCTCCTCCCCCTCATTTGTTATATTTCTCCGTCCTTGTCCTCCTGTCCCCGTTCTCCTTCTCCCTCTCCTCCTCCTCCTCCTCCTCGTCGTCGTCGTCCTCCTCCTCTTCCTCCTCCTCCTCCTCCTCCTCCTCCTCTTCCTCCTCCTCCTCCTCCTCCTCCTCCTCCTCACCTTCTTCCTCCTCCTCCTCCTCCCCCTTTTCCTCTCCCTCCTCCTCCTCCTCCTCCTCCTCCCCCTTCCCCCTCTTCCTCCTCTGCTATCACTCCTCCATAATTCCTGTCCGCTCCTCCCCTTCACTGATCTTCCTCTTCGTCATCATCATCCCTTTCGTCGCACGCCTCTTAATCCTCAATCGGTTCCCAATCTTCTCGACTTTCTTGTCATCCGCGTCCTTGGCTGTTGGAGGGGCCTCAGGAATTCTCAGGGCTCTTGTGTTGCACGCGAAGGCACACCTCCCAGGAACGCATCATCCTCCTCACATTCACCCTCCTCCTCCTCATCCTCCTCCTCCATGCACGTTCGGCTCAAGCCCGCGCCGACGGTAGGTTTCACGGCGGTTGGGCGGGCTCGCGCCCGCCTCCGCGGCCTGCAGTCGGGGCAGAGATGCGTGCAGGGTGGGATGACAAAGCGGAAGAGGAAACACGGGCCGCAGTTGCGGATTCTTCAAAGAGCAGCGGCGGCGGTTGGGGAACAAGTGGGGGTTGGGGCGGCCGCAGTGGCGGATACGGCGGCGGAGGTGACCGCAGTGGCGGCTGGGGCGGCGGAGATTCTCTTGGCGGATGGAGAGGAAAAGCGCAGGATGGCGGCGACGGAAGTGACCGCAGTCGCGGATGGGAGGGCGGCGGATGGGGCGGCAACGGATGCGAGGGTTGGGGAATGGAGGGCGCCCGCTGGTGGGACGACGAGGGTGGCTGGTGGAATGCATGGGAAGGTGGCCGCTCGAGTGCCTCGGCAGGTTCTCCTGCCGCGGAGCCCGCGGCCGCAACAGCGGCGGGCAAAGGAGGCGGTCCCCTGCTTCCCCCAGGGCGCGAAGAACAAGGCGCAGTTGCGCTGTTTCAAATTGTGCGCAATGAGCCGCTGCCAATTTTCAAGTTGGAATTCTTCGAGAACTTCAGGGCGAACTGGAACGGCAATTATAAGCAGCACAACGCGGCCTTGAAGTGGTTCCGAGACGAGTACGAAGACCGAGAAAACCCTTTCGGCAGCCGCACGCCCGTCTTCGGAGGTACCGCAGTTGCGGAGGAAATTTCGAAGATCCTTAAGTACCGCGCAAAGGGGAAGGCGCAGGACAACAGGGATTGGGACTGGGACCACACTGTCAAAGTGCCGTGGTCTTGGCTGGAGATGGTCGCGCAGATGGATGGACCTACAATGCTGCGCGTCGTGTGCGGCCCTGACAATGACCGCAGTCGCGGGTTGGTCCGCTGCGAGTGCCGCCCGTGCCCTAGCAGTCTCGACAACATGAGGCACACGAAAGGGGTGGACAGAGGACAGGCGCAAAGAATCCCTCTGCCCCAGTGGGATTTCGTCCTCATCCGCGACGACGGCTCGGGCATTCGCGTCCACCCATCCTGGTCTAGCCCGAAGTTCAACACGTATGAGGTGGAGCCGCACTCGCATCCCGTGCGGGGCCCGAGGGCAGGTCTCGGCAAGAGCGATGGCCACGGAACGTTCACGTTCTGGAAGATGCTGCACGCCCATCCGAATCCTGGGCGGTTCGACGCGAGCAAGGGGGCGCAGCTGCAACCGCGGTGGTCCGCGCAGCCTTGACACCGCAGTTGCGGGATTGCGCAGCCATGGAACCGCAGTTGCGGGGACCGATCGCGTGACGCCGCGCTCGTTTGACTCACTATGCGCGCTTTCGGCCGCAGTTGCGGCGCTGCCTTCTAGCGACTTCATACAGCTTGGCCGCAGTTGCGGCGCTCCCACGACTGACCGCTGTAATTAGGTGCTTCGGGCGCGCATCACCTCCGTTGAAGCACTCGTGACGTTAATTAGCGCGGCCGCAGTTGCGGAGACAGGTACTTAAACAGATGGATCCGCAGTTGTTCGTCGTCCTCGTCGCCCCTTCCCCGTCGTCCTCGTCGCAGTCTCCTCCCTCCGCCTTTCCTCCTCGTCGCAGTTCCTTCCGTTGGCCGTAGCCCGCCTCCGTTGGCCGAGTCATTTCCCGTCGTCCTCGTCGCAGTCCCCCCCGAGGGCCGCAGTTGCGGACTTTGTTGATTCCTCCTCCTCCGTTTCTGCCCCGTCATCCTCGTCGCAGTCCCCTTGCTCCTTTCACCCTCGTCTGAGCTCTTCGCGCCATCCTCTTCCGTCGCGTCCTCTCCATCCTCCTCTTCGCCTTCCTCGTCCTCATCCCCGCCGTCTCCCTCGTTGTCCTTCCTCTCCCAAGCCGGCCGCAGTTCCCCCGTCGGACGGGGGCCGCGCGCGGCCACGCCATGGACCCAGGTCGCAAAGCCGAGGTCGACAAGCGGTTCGCCGAGCTGAAGCAGCAACTGCGGGAAAGGTTCGGCCTGCAAGGGGCTGCCGCGGATGCCGCAGTCGCGGAGCCGACGGAGGACCGCAGTTGCGGAAGCCCCGAGCGACCGCCGCGCGAGGCCTCCCCGCAGTCGTCTAGCTCCTCGCGGGAATATCGGCCGCCGCCGCCGATAAGCGCTGCGAGTGGGAGCTCTGCTGGTGGGAGGCGCGAAGAGGCGCAGTTGCGCAGGGCGCACTTGACCCCCAAGGCAAAATGGGGGCCTCGGGCGCAGACGCCGACGAAGCAGCAGGACCAACCAGCAGTGACGGGAGCCGCCACCGAGACCGCAGTTGCGGGGGTGGCCGGCGAGCCAGGTGCCGCGCGCGGCTCATCTGGGAGCAGCGCGCCCTCGGCCGTGCTGCTCGCAGCCGAGTCCAAACGAGGCGCCCAACCCGAAGACGAGGCCGCCTCCCAGGAGAAAGCCGCCGAGACAATCGCCTCGGCCGATTCGCGGCCGAGGAAAAGGCCGCCTCCCACGGAAGGCTCGCCGCTGTCAGAACCGCAGTCGCGGGGTCGCGCGGGGCCTCCGTCGGAACCGCAGTTGCGGGAAGATGCGGGAGCACCGCGGAAGAAGCAGCGGACCAGGTCCCCTCCAGGGATAAACTACGTTGGGGAACGCCCCAAGTGGAACGAAGGATTCCTTCGTACAGCAGACGGCAATCGGGTTCCGTCCACCATCGCTTTGGTGTTCAACGTGGTGGTCATCACGAAGGTGGCAACAAAGGAAGATGTCTTCAGGTGCATCTTGCACCAAACTGCGGCGGTCGTCTTCGTCGTATGGGACCCCGAGCTGTTCCGCACGGGGAACGTCGAAGGCGCTTGCAGCTACGACGTTCCCGTTGGACTCAGGACTGCCGTCGAAGACGCTGTCACTTTGAAAAACAACACCGCGGAGCCTTACTGGACGACGGTTGGCCTGTTCAGAGACACGGGCGTGGTGCTCGTGCGCCCGCACATCATCGCAGAGACCGCAGTTGCGGGTCATGTTGTTGGGGCCACCCACGCCGTCACGATCCTGCGCTTTCGCCTGAAGGGCTCCGACATGAATCCTGCCGCGGTGATCCGTTTTGCCGTCGTGTCCAGACACGCAGTCACCGAACGTCTCCAACAGAAGATCACGCAATCAGAACAAACAGCGTGGCATCCAAGTTTCTTCAAGGACGCGGTTGCTTCCATCCATAAAAATGATGTGCGGTTCTTGTGCGGCCTGTTTGACATCCCGCCTGAGCAGCTCCAAGCATTTGGCCGCAGTTGCGGAGCCAGCTACACCTGCCCGATGGGGGTGGTGCTCAGGGCTGGACCCGCCCTGTTCGGAGGCCTTGTGGAGGGCACACGCGTCATGCATCCGAATTACGTCCTCCCCATTGGCCCGTGCGACGTGCGCATTGCGGACTACAACGCGGATTCTGCAGGGAGGCCGTCGAAGAACGATCCCCAGTGGCTCCCTGATTGGATGCATCGAACAAGCGACTCCATCATCTCTCGGCGCTGGGTCCCAGCGAAGTACATGCCCAAGTGGGAGGATGACCCTGACCGCAGTAGCGGAGTCAGAAGAAAGCTCGGCTTGGCAGCGCTGCCCCCAATCGGCAAGGTCATTCAGAAGGAGCTCAACGAGAAGACCTTCAGCACGCACTGGTGCGAGGGCATCCACCAAAACGTCGTCTTCGTCGGCCACGGACGCCAGAGTCGGGCGAGCAAGCGGAAGCACGAAGAGGCGCGATCTGCCGCAGTTGCGGACGAGCGGTGAGTGCGGCAAGACCGAGGAGCCGCAGTTGCGGAACAGAGCTCGGTACTACTGGGCGCCTGCTGCCTGCGTAGTGCATCCCATTAGCGATGGAGTGCATGTTGCGGTG